CAGGCCTCCTTAGCTAAAACCCTAGAATCTCGTACCATTGATGTATGCTATGTCTCCGAAACACGCATACAGGATCCCAGTGTGGTCATTCATTTGACCTCACCTCGCCAAAATAGACAGCCAACGAAATACACCCTCCGTGTATCTGGCGACCCGTTGGCTAGTTCTCGCGAACTTGCAGGTGTTGGCATAGCAATAAGTACAAGGGCAGAACAGGCACTATTAGAATGGATCCCCGTTAACAGTCGCCTGTGTGCTGTCCGGCTAAATGGCTCCATAAGAACTCGGAAGGATAGGGACACACGTCGTTGCCTTTTCGTCGTTTCTGCCTACGCTCCCACCGACTGCAGCCATGATGAAGTAAAAGATGACTTTTACAGAAAGCTCTCTGAGCTTCTTCAGAAAACTAAGCACTCAGACATAGTAGTCGTAGCGGGTGACTTTAATGCCCAGGTAGGCAGCTTGAATCAAACAGAAAGACATTTAGGTGGGTGTTTTAGTATTCCGGCTCAACGAACCGATAATGGTGATCGTCTGTTGCAACTATGCTCAGACAATCGTTTATTTCCAGCAAACACTAATTTTAAACATAAGGAGAGACATCGTCTAACATGGAGACCACATGCACCAATCCAACGATGGACTCAAATAGACCATATTGTCATCAGTCATCGTTGGAGAGGCTCAATAGAAGATTGTCGCTCGCATTGGAATACTTGTTTAGTCTCTGATCACGCTTTAATACGAGCACGCATTTGTCTGCGCCTCAATGGACGCAGGAAAAGTACACTAAGAAGACCCATTAGGATTGAACTGGAGGACGAGAAAGCCAAATGCGAATTCCAGAAACAACTGAGTTCACATCTGGGCAGTTCTGTAAACAAGACTGACACAGATGCTGCTTGGAAAGACATACGAACAGCTGTGGAAACATCAGTAACATCTATTAGTCATCTAAACCATAGGGCTCCAAAAAACCAGTGGATTTCCTCTAAGTCTATTTCACTGATGGATTCGCGTAAACTCATCCCATCAGGCTCTGAACATGACGAAGAGCGTAAACAAATTAGATCTAGGTTAAATAAAAGTCTAAGGAACGATCGTGAGCAGTGGTGGGCAACGAAAGCAAAAGAGATGGAAAAGGCAGCGGCTGTAGGCAACACCAGGCAACTATTCAGACTAATAAAAGAAACCGGAATTAAGAAGACAAGTGTAAGTGAGACAATCTCGGAAAAAGACGGAACCCTTATCTGCTCTCAACCCAAACGTTTAGAACGATGGGCGGAACACTTTAAGGAGCAGTTTAGCTAGCCTTCAGCTACTGCACAACTACACACTATTCCCAGAAAACCTGAATGGAACATTGAAGTAGGCCCCCCGACCCTACTTGAAGTTCAAAAGGCTATAGGCAATCTGAAACGAGGAAGAGCAGCTGGTCCAGATGGATTGGCTCCAGAGGTCTTTAAACATGGTGGTCCGATTTTAGCGATTAGGTTGACTAATATTCTGGCTAAAATCTGGGAGACAGATGTAATCCCATCTGACTGGTCACAATCACTGATTGTCCCAATATATAAAAAGGGGTCAAAATCATCCTGCGATAACCACAGAGGGATTAGTCTGACTATCATAGTATCTAAAATACTAGCCTCAATAATTATCGGACGCCTAACGAAGACTCGTGAACTGCAAACACGAGAAAATCAGGCTGGCTTCAAACTTGGTCGTGGCTATATCGACCACATATTCACCATTCGTCAAGTTTCAGAGCACAGACACGCTTATCGGCGTCCGACAATGATAGTTTTTCTTGACTTGAAAGCAGCATTTGACTCTGTAGACCGAGAGGTTCTGTGGCAGTGTCTGTCATTGAAAGGTGTACCTCAGAAGTACATAAACCTTGTGAAGGCTCTTTACTCGAACACTACCAGTCGAGTGAGAGCTTATGGCGAACTGTCATATGATTTTACAACCTCAAGTGGTGTCCGTCAAGGCTGTCCACTATCCCCATTTTTGTTTAACTTCATTATAGACCTATTGCTGGAAATAACACTCTCTTCGACTGAATTTACAGGAATTGATCTCCTACCACGGGGACCACTAAGCGACTTAGAATACGCAGATGACATAGTCCTGTTTGGTGAAGACGCTGACAAAATGCAGAGTCTTCTGTTGGAACTCAGTAATAATGCCAGGATGTTTGGGATGCGATTCTCCCCATCCAAATGTAAATTGTTACTCCAGAACTGGCCTGCGTCAACACCCGAACTAAGGATAGGGAGTGAAGTAGTCGAACGCGTCGACAACTTCACTTACCTTGGAAGTTTGATCAGCCCTAATGGGTTGGTGTCTGACGAAATCTCAGCACGGATTCGAAAAGCTCGTTTGGCTTTTGCCAACTTACGTCACCTATGGCGAAGACGAGATATCCGTCTATCAATTAAGAGACGAGTATACTGTGCAGCAGTTCGTCCTGTTCTACTTTACGGCTGCGAAGCATGGCCATTAAGAGTAGAAGATACTCGTAGGTTACTAGTATTTGACCACAGATGCCTTAGAAATATTGCTCGCATCTGCTGGGATCACCGGGTAAGTAATAGTGAGGTTAGACGCAGGGTATTAGGGAACGATGGTAAATCAATTGATGAATCTTCATCGACTGAGATGGTTGGGCCATGTGTTACGTATGCCTGAACACCGATTACCACGACGCGCTATGATGACTAGTACTGGGGATTGTTGGAAGAGAGTTAGGGGCGGCCAAACCAAAACATGGCATCAGTGTTTGAAGTCACTAACTTCTAGTCTGAGCCATGTTGGCAGATACAGACTACCTGGTTGGGGTCCGCGTGACTATCGTAACCAGTGGTTGGAGACTCTAGGTGACATGGCTCAGAATCGATCACAATGGCGTAGGTGTATACACTCTTTATCTTCCTTTAAACCTTGAGACTAAAATTGCTTCATATATCTCTTCCTTCCTGTACTATATCCTTATATACAACCTATAATTTATATACTACTACCACCAGTAAATTAATTACTTCTATGAATCCGGTGTTCATCTTGTTGTGCTAACGAGGTATGGCAACTTGGACCGATGCATAAATGTGCCTGGTCCTACGTTGTAGCTGACTGACTGACAAGTCCTTCTTGACTGTTTTTAACAATTCTCTAGTTAACCTCAAATCGTAACAAAAACTGAAAATATTTCAACATAGTGGAGATTAAAATAACATTGAGCAGTGGTTGATATCTTAAAATTAACAAGAAGTCATAAAATTAAACCTCACGTTAGGACACAATTACGATGGCTTATTTTAATAATTATCTATCTTATTACATTTTCTCTACATTGTGTAATACAGAAACAATGATGAAAAAATAACACTTGTATGAAGTTTTGTATTGTTCGGTTTATTTGAAAAAAAACTTGCCAAATAACATAAAGACTAATCAATTGAGAAAAAAAAATTGAATAAACTGATTCATCAAGTTCTTCAGTATAAGCCACACTTTAAATTTGGTAGCTAAATATACTACGCGGCTGCCTAAGCAGAGGTAGGTGGAGAGGGGATCAAACCTGAGACCTAATGGCTGTACATTTTAACCACTGAAAAAAACTCGTGATTCGCCTACAAGTGATGAGTTAGGTCATATTATTCAATGTTGTCCTGGCTGTCGATCCGATTATCACCAATCAGGTAGTATTGTACGGTAATTTTATTTAATCCGATAACTCTTTATTCTAGTCATCAGAGTGAATAAACTGAAGACTGCATTTTATTATGAGAGATTAATCAAGTCTTAATGTAATTGTAGAAGAAACAGAAAATAACGAGCACACATCAACTGGTGGGGTCCGCGCGATAGACACGGATAGTAGTTAGAAGCATTGAATGACATAGTTTGGAACTGGTCACAATGGCCCAAATGTATTCACTATATGTTTTGAATTCCGGTATTTCTCCATACATATCATTCCATCATTAAAAACTACATTCTCGATATATAGTATTCCTAAATAACAGCGATACTAATATTGCTTCAATTACTTTGCTACTCATCGCGTTAATTTCGTCTTATCGTGCTGATATGATATAGAAACTTCGACTAACCCACATTTGTGTGAGACTGTGCATTGAATATAACTAGCTGAGGCCTATTACTAATAACGTTACCATGAACTACAAAAATGTATCTATCAGCGTAGGTTTAAATGAGCTTATCTATTAAATGTTAGAACTTCGTTTTATATATGAAGGATAAATTTGCGCTTCAGGGGGTACATGTTAGTCAACAGACCTTTTGGTACATGCCAAAATTTCGTCAGATACCCGATTACATAAGATATGTGGTCAACGTGTTTAACAACATTACTCCTGAATCTGATTTGAGGCTGACATGCATAAGTTCTGAGACAAAAATTCTCACTTGTAGAAAGAGAATGATATCCCAAACATCCTTGTACTGTGGTAGGTGATTTCTGCGGTAATTAAGTTTTTTTTCCAATGGCTCCGCTACATTATGTACTTCTTCACGGTAAACGTTAAAGATTGTGTAGAAACATCCACTAATTTTTGTATCATATAACAAGAGTCCATTCATTGAACTTTATAGGTGTCTCAGTGACTATAACGACTATTAGGCACCACTGTTATAAGTCCTAGATGAAACAAAATGAATCACCTGGTCTTATCTTTGTTAATATCTAAATCCTTTACATAATAAAATAGTGTCAAATTCACTTAAGTGTAAGTGTACTAGTTAATCCAATACCCTGAAGAAAAAAGCGGAAAAATACAAAACGAAACATGGCATAAATAGACCTGATTGGTTAGATAGCAAAAAAACTAACAGCAGTAAACATTAAAAATATCACTAATGATTTGTACAATAAAGTAGCACACTCACATTGTTTGCAAAGCATATAAAATGTACAAAATTAAACGTTTACGAAGTACACACACCAACATAGAGAAAAAGAGAGAGACAAACAATCAATGAACAATACGAGAATTAACTGCGAACGACACCTTGTGCATCCCACCAATCGGAGGAGAGTTTACAAATGGTGATTTATGTACAGATGGATTAATATTAGTTATTGGATTATCTTCCATAACTTTCAAATTGTTTGTCATTTCAGTGATAAGTCGTTGCATTTCACGAATACCATTATGACGTTGAGTTAAATACTGAGGATAAAAATAATGCAAACAGAAAGGTGATTGTAATCATCCACTAAACAGAACTTAATGGAAAAAAAGTCAACAAAATAATCATTGGTTGTAAGACTAAGATTGGTAGCTGGACTTTAAAGAAATAAAATAACATAAACAAATGATTCAACACAGCGTGCACTATGTTTTGATGTTGTGTATGTATGAATCCACGTTTTCTTGGATTAAGGTTTCTCGTCAGCAAAAAGTGTATGTAATCCTCAGGGAATTTATGATCTCTTTGCGAGTCTAGCTCACTTTATCCAATGTTAGAGTGAGGCTTTAGCACTGATTTATCGTGAGTTAGACTTCCATATAATTGCTTCTGATTATCTAATAACGTGAAAATGTTAGTTACTATGTTATAGAATTGAGAACCATCAGCATATCGCACAATCAATATCCATAGTTAAATTACTTTCATCTACGGGGTTTCTGCTTCTTAAATTCAATATTAAGTGAAACGACTCATTGAAACATACCAGCATTTCATTAAAAATTACTAGAGCTTGGGCAGTATATACAAAACAGTAATTCCAAAACACAACATCAATACATTACACCTAAGTGAAATAACAAACTTAGTGCCCTCAGATTGTACTGAAATCAGTGATCGTTTACAGCTCAATAAACTATATTAGACTGTGAAGATTAAAATCATTAGCGGAATCGATGGAGCAGAGAACAAACTAGTGACTGAATAGTAAGAAGATGAAGCACTAAAATCAAAAGCACAACTTTGCATAGGAATTTCTCTAAAAAAATCAAAAATGACCTTGTGGGTTAGCACAAAATAATGTTACTAGGCTTCCTAAATTAAAAAATCACAATCTATATTGAAATTCGAAAAAAGACACCTAGAGTCTAGTGTAAAAAATGTCTGTCTATGAAATGTTTATAAAATTTTAGGCTACTTATGAGTAGAATGAATAGAAACACTACAATTACTCGCAGACCAGTTAGGCTTTTTACACAAAACATATTTAGCTGTTTTGATAGATGTTAACAAGTACGAAAACACTTTAATGCAGAGTCCTATCCTGATTACTGAAAACACGTAATTTCAAATAATTATAGAAAGTTAGATAAACTGAATATAAAGTGCATACTTAAAAACGAATATACACTCAACTAATAAAGTATACACACAATCTACCTCTTTCAGTTCATTTAACGAATCCGGATCTAAACTCCAAGTTGACGGATAACCATCTCCAGATTCTAATGGATGAACACTTTTATAAACCGATCCAATATTTTCTTTATCTCTTTTGTTAAACTCAGAAGAATTACGAAGTGTAGACAATGCTTCTTGAAATCGAATACGTAAACCTCTTGGAGCGACAAGTTCCGACCAAATTCTTTCAAGTTCACAACGCATTCCCTCTTCTTCTACACTTATAGCAAATCCACATCGTCTATGCACTTCTTGGTTCTTGAGAACCTTAGAATTAAAAATGTGTTTTGAAAACAGATAAATATAAGAGACTATACAACTTGAATTTTATTTCAATTTGCTATTTTGAAAAAGAAGAAAGTATTTGAAGATTATAAAATGGTAATAAAAATCAGTTTTGTTAGATGGCTAGACGTGGACAACAGGAAATATTGAACTTAATTTTCGTGCTAGCTGTTCATTATCAGCAAGAAGTACTTGGAAACTTAAGCGAACTGATAATCCCTGTGTGGTTCGAACCTGCATAACTCAGCTTCATAACCTCATATGTTACCATAGGAGATATACGAGTCATGACTAATCAACAGTAGGACTGAAATATTTACAACCGATTGGTCTCTGAATGGTAACGAATATCATATACATCAAGTCCTTTAGTCATTTGGACTAGTGGCCACATTACAACTTGATAAATAGAATTCGATCACCACTAATGGACTAGACAACTCAATGACCAATCAATAGTTAAGTAATATTTGCCGAATGGATACACTTTGGATTCGTTAGTAAATGGATCACCAGTCTGTTTATTTGTAATAGTATTTATTTATTTATTACAACGACATTAATAAACTGTGTATAGATGATAATTCACTGTCAGGAAAGTCCTACTCACTACCTTTTCGTGGCATTACTGTTGTTTACGAAATTGAGGGGACGAAAAGCGAATGTCCGGCGCTTTAACCGGGTTGGTGGATGTGGAGGATCCGCCTAGGGGAGTTGGAAAACCCTGATTCCAAACCAATGGTGAACATGGGCTGCAGTATCCTGATCGAACAAACGACGTATGAACAAACTGTTGGTCATCGGCTACCATGGGACTGCATCTCCTAACGTTGCTCCACTGCCTTATGGCTTAGACCTTTAGGTCAAAGGTTTGGGGTGTTGCCACCTAAAAAAACCACCTGATTCAGTTTGGGCACCCGGGCAGTATCATAGCCCTCACATAAAGTAAATGAGATTTGTGTAGCGCATATGTATCTGGTGTCCCTTTTGTACAAATATTTATGTGTTTAAATAAATAAATTAATGATGAGTTGTGAACGGTTGAAATTTACTCAACTATTGATTACCCGACCGTTGCTGCTACCTTGACGTGGTGGTCGAGCTTGTCTATCGTGATGATCCAATCGAGCTATGCTGGCTGAAACAATCGTTCCTCAAGGTCCTACCATGCCAGACAGGTCGGTTGAAGAGCGGCAAGACTAAAAGCAGCAATCCCAAGGTCCGAAGTCGTACTGCCGACTGTACAGAGGTGTGACGGCAGCAAGGTGTTTCTTTCAGACAACCAGCATGACAGCGATGCTGCCTTCTCACAAGGAGGGGTCGGGTTAGAAAAGGTGGACCCTAAAATTGCACACCTCGCCTTATCCCACGGATTTCCGTCTACGGCGGTAAGGTCCTTTGATGAACGGAGCTAACACGTCGAAAATCCCCCACAAAAAGGCCGTGTGTGACCGGCCTCAAGCAGTTGTCCCTTGGGCACTGCGGTCACGCTCCTAAGTCGTTAAGACCAACACTAATCCGACTTCCTTTTCAGGTCCCTCAAGAGATACCCTTCCACGGTGTGGGCAGCCGGGAAGTGATATTAGCACTCATACCCATAACTGCACACGAGGCCAAGTTGGTCACTTTCAAATCCCTCCTACACCCAATAACTCTCTTATCTCCACGACTAACCCTTCCCACGTCCTTTTATCACCTCGCACCGCTAGGGCAAATGATTCGAGTACACAGAACGTTATTCCTGGTCTCCTGAAACCACGCTCTAAACTACATGTAGGAACTTTTAATGTCCGAACATTGTGCCAAATAGGACAACAGGCTTCCTTAGCTAGGACTCTAGAATCTTACACTATCGATGTGTGCTGCGTCTCCGAAACGCGCATACAAGATCCGAGTAGGGTCATTCATTTGACCTCACCTAATCAAAATAAAGAACCATCTCGATACACGCTCCGTGTATCTGGAAGCCCTGATGCTGCTTCCCGTGGCCTCGCTGGAGTCCTAGGGCAGAACTAGCTCTTTTAGACTGGATGCCAGTAGACAGTCGTCTATGCGCTGTCCGACTAAACGGATCAGTAAGGACCCGGAAAGATAGTGAAACTCGTCGTTGCCTCTTCGTCGTCTCTGCCTACTCTCCCACTGACTGCAGCTCAGACGATATAAAAGATGAGTTCTACATGAAACTTTCTGACCTTCTCCGAGAAGCTAGGCGTTCTGATGTAGTAATAGTGGCAGGTGACTTTAATGCTCAAGTAGGTAAACTAAGTGAAAGGGAAAGACACCTGGGTGGATCTTATGGTGTCATGGCGAAAAGAACAGATAATGGCGACCGTCTGTTGCAGCTATGCTCAGATAACCGCTTATTTCTTGCAAATACTAACTTTAAGCATAAGGAAAAACATCTTTTGACATGGCGACCCCCGAATTCGTCCCAACGTTGGACCCAATTAGATCGCATCGCTATCAGCCACCGATGGAGAGGCTCGATAGAGGAATGTCCCTCATTCTGGAGCACATGTTTAGATTCAGATCATGCTCTAGTGCGAGCACGTATCTGTCTGCGACTTACTTGACGTAGGAAAGACACTGCAGAGAAGCCTCTAAGGGTTCTACTTAATGATAGACAAGCTAAGAATATATTTCAGGAACAACTGGAAAAAAAGTTAGACAGACATGTAAGTTGTGTCCACCCCGAAGCAGCGTGGAATGACATCCGAAAAGCTGTGGAAACAGCAGTGATATCAGCTAGTAAGACAAACCATAAGGTTAGGGAGAAACAATGGATCTCGGCAGCATCTTCCGCACTGATAGATGCTCGAAAACTCATCCCACTTGGCTCTGAACATAACGAAGAGCGGGGTCAGCTTAAGCGCAGGCTAATAAGAAGCCTACGTAATGATCGTGGACAGTGGTGGGTAGCGAAAGCAAGAGAGATGGAAAAGGCAGCGGCAATAAGTAACAGTAGGCAGCTATTCCGACTCGTTAAAGAAACCGGTATTAGGAACCCGAATATCAGTGAAACCATTTCAGATAAAGATGGGCATATTATTCATTCTCAATCCAGGAGATTGGATCGATGGGCAGAACACTCTATGGATCAGTTCAACTGGCCTTCAGCCACACTTCAGTTACCCACGATCCCCAGTCGTCCCGAATGGAAAATTGATGTAAGTCCTCCAACTCCCTACGAGGTTGAAAAAGCTATAGGAAATCTGAAGCGAGGGAGAGCAGCAGGCCCTGACAGGTTTACCCTTGAGATTTTTAAGGATGGTGGTCCAGTACTGGCAGCGAGATTGACTGAGGTCTTAGGTAGAATCTGGGACCTGGACGTAATTCCATCTGACTGGTCCCAATCACTGATTGTGCCAGTCTATAAGAAAGGACAAAAGTCCGCTTGTGACAATCACAGAGGGATCAGTTTGACTAATATAGTGTCTAAAATATTAGCTTCAATAATACTAGGACGCCTAACCAAAGCTCGTGAAGAGCAGACTAGAGAAAGCCAGGCTGGTTTTCGACCTGGACGTGGTTGTATAGACCAGATATTCACTCTACGTCAGGTCCTAGAACATAGAAATACATTCGGATGTCCCACAATAGTAGTATTCCTTGACCTTAAGGCGGCATGTGACTCCGTTGGTCGTAAGGTTCTATGGCAGTGTTTGTCACTGAAAGGAGTACCAGAGAAGTACATTAACCTCATAAAGCCTCTCTACTCGAACACAACTGGTCGAGTTAGAGCCTATGGCGAACTGTCATCAGAACTGATTACCTCAAGTGGTGTTCGTCAGGGCTGTCCACTCTCCCCATTCTTGTTTAACTTTGTCATTGACATACTTTTAGAGATAACACTTTCATCAGCTAAACCTCCAGAAGTTAAACTTTTAGCGGGAGGTTCACTTGTTGACTTAGAATACGCCGACGACATAGTTTTACTCGGTGAGGACGCTGGCAACATGCAGTCTTCTGACCACTATAAGCAACTATGCAGGGATGTTCGGAATGCGATTCTATCCCTCGAAGTTCAAAATGTTACTTCAGGATTAGATTGCATCGGCACCCAAACTAATGATAAGGAGTGAAGTGGTTCAGCATGTCGACCACTTCACTTATCTTGGGAGTCTCATCAGCCCTTGTGGTCTGATGTGTGACGAAATCTCAGCACGGATACAGAAGGCTCGTCCAGCTTTCGCCAACTTGCGTCATTTATGGCGTAGGCGAGATATCCGTCTAGCAACCAAAGGACGGGTTTACTGTGCAGCAGTCCGTTCCGTCCTACTTTATGGCAGTGAAACATGGCCGATAATAGTAGAGGATATTCGTAGGCTACTAGTATTCGATCATAGGTGTCTTCAAACTATTGCTCGTATATCCTGGGACCACCGGGTAAGTAATGCAGTTGTTAGGAAACGAGTACTAGGTAGGGATGGCAAATCGATTGATGAAGTAGTGAAACTTCATCAGTTGAGATGGCTGGGACACGTGTTACGTATGCCCAACCACCGACTGCCCCGACGTGCAATGTTTCATGGTGTAGGAGTAAGTTGGAAGAAAGCTAGAGGTGGCCAGACCAAAGCGTGGCACAAATCTATGAAGTCACTGACAATTGGACTGAGCCATGTTGGTAGGTGTAGACTACCTGGTTGGGATTCGCGAGATGGTAGCAACCGATGGTTAGAGACCTTGAATGACATGGCTCAAAATCGTTTGCAATGGCGAAGGTGCATCCACTCTTTGTGTTCTATCAACTTCTAATCTTCTGAATTCCTCATGTCTTTATCTTTTTCTCTTTCTAAATTTATTTCACTGTATTATACTCCTTCAATAACTTCTTCAAACCCTAATCTTTCACATAATGCTTATACTCTTACTACTTCTACCACTATGGGATTTGAATCGACAACTTCATCTGTGTTAATGTAGTATGGCAATTCGAACTGATGTACGTACGTACGGAGTTCTACGTTGTGACTGACTGACTGAGTCATTTTTCACAATCACATCGACTTGCATATGTGATTTTTAAATAGTAAATGACTTTGCAGCATTCATTGGATAATCTCCCTAATGGTGTTGTATACATTGTTGTGAGCAATCTAATTTTCTGTTCACAATCCATAACAGTTAACCGTCCATAAAAACAACTTTTTTTAATCAAATTTACATAGTTACTTTAAAGTTTATAGACTGAATTTTATATAATTTTTTTATATTTAAATCAAGTGTACTGGCTTATTGATCATTCTAAGTGAGATACCTAGAGTAACTGATCTTAAAAATACGTTTTTATAACTTTGAAAGAATAGCAATTCACTAATCGAGACTATTGCATAAATTAGATGTTTGATTTTATAATAAGACAGACTTTGAATTTATTATTGAGGAGAGAGATCGATAACGGATCTCTGTTGACTACAGTGGTTAGGGCGTGTAAAATGTATAAACTAGTCATCTCCTACAGATATATACTATGTTGATCGAAGTGAAAACAATAATGATGAAGATAGCTGAATGAATTTCAGATTAAAATGTCACATCAAACGTTTGACTTTTGGTCAGTATTGTATAGAGAAGTAAATACTTTCTAGTTGAATTTTCTTTTTATTAACTAAAATTATTGACTGAAGATTTAAAGTAACATGGTCTTACATTAGTTGTAATAATGAATATTTATTCATTAACTTTAGTCTCTGTTTTAACTGACTTCTTTTCAATTTCCTTGTGGTTAATTATTTTTGATAGTATCAAAATGTTAAGCGAGGTTATTTGAACCGAGAAAAGGTTGCGCCAGATTAGCTGTTAGTCTACAGTACCCAAAATAATGGTTTCTTGTCCTAAACATGTAGATTTACTTGTTATGTACAACAAATCTTTGACAATTAACCAAAATTTGTTGAAATTAGCTTTGATGGCTAATTTCCAAAGTAATAAACAGATCCAAACTTCATTCTAGAAACCTAATCACTTGCATAAATTTGAACCTAGAACAAATGCGATTTAAACCAATTATCTAAACTTCACCTTGATACATTGAAAATAATATTTATCAGAAATTAATATAAGGTAGACAACAAATACCCTTGCTCAAATATACCTGATTTTCTAACATATCTATGCATATATCCACATTAAATAATAGTGTTTAACAACAAAAGAACATATAATTAACTCACTTTCAACACTCTATGACTTAATTCAATTTGTTTGCGTTTTAATTGAATAAGTCGTTGTGACATACCAAGTTGACCAGTGCGTAGCTTAGACACTAATTCAGTGATATACTAAAAAGGTAATATATTAAACATATATAAATTGCCACGTGAATGAATATGAATATGAAGATTTTGATGAAAGTCATTTTAAGACAGTGTGTGAGGGGAGGGTGAACGTAGTATAGATGAATGAACAAGGAAAAGTGAAATACAGTTGTGGAAATGTGAACATAAGTAAATAGATATACTGATGTGACATTTTTAGTAACGTTAATATCGATCAGAAGATACACGTAAGATAATGAATCCTTGACAAAATAATCAATGAGTTTAAATAAACTTTATTGAGTGCCAGGTGATTAAAACAACTATGAGTTATACATGCATCATCAATAATCTACTTAGACAGATAGAAGAGGAACAGTCAGCTACAACGTAGGACCAGGCACATATATGCATCAGTTTAAGTTACCATACCTCATTAGCACAACAAGACGAACACCAAATTCATAGTAGTTAATTCAATGGTGGTAATATATAAAAGAAAGATTGTATATAAGGATATAGTACAGGAAGAAAGACAGATATGACGCAATTTTAATCTTATAGTTTAAGGGAAGATAAAGAGTGTATACACCGACGCCATGTCACACAGTTTCCAACCATTGGTTACGATAGTCGCATGGACCACAAGCAACTAGTCTGTATCTACCAACATGGCTCAGGCTAGAAGTTAGTGACTTCAAGCACTGATGCCACGTTTTCGTTTGGCCGCCACTAACTATCTTCCAACCATCCCCAGTACTAGTCAACATAAAGCGTCGTGGTAATCGGTGTTCAGGCATACGTAACACGTGGCCAAAACATATTCACAACTTCATCAACTAATTTACCACCATTCCCTAATACTCTGTGTCTAACCTCACTATTACTTACCCGGTGATCCCAGCTGATGCGAGCAATATTTCTAAGGTATCTGTAGTCAAATAATAGTAACCTACGAGTATCTTCTACTCTTAATGGCCACTTTTCACAGCCATAAAATAGAAGAGAGAGAACTGCTGAGCAGTACAATCGTCCCTTCATTGACAGACGAATATCTCGCCATAGGTGACGTAAGTTGGCAAAAGCCAAACGAGCTTTTCGAATCCGTGCTGAGATTTCGTCAGACACCAACCCATTAGGGCTGACCGGACTTCCAAGATAAGTGAAGTTGTCGACGCGTTCGACTACTTCACTCCTTATCCTTAGTTCAAATGTTGACGCAGGCCAGTTCTGGAGTAACAATTTACATTTGGATGGGGAGAATCGCATCCCAAACATCCTGGCATTATTACTCAGTTCTAACAAAAGACTCTGCATTTTGTCAGCGTCTTCACCAAACAGGACTATGTCATCTGCGTATTCTAAGTCGCTTAGTGATCCCCCTGGTAGGAGATCGATTCCTGAAAATTCAGTCGACGAGAGTGTTATTTCCAGCAATAGGTCTATAATGAAGTTAAACAAAAGTGGGAATGGTGGACAGCCTTGTGGGACACCATTTGAGGTTGTAAAATCAGATGACAGGGTGCGTACGTTGAAGGCTCCAATGAGCAGCTTGGAGCGAGGTTTAAGTAGACCTGGGACAGTGTTTTGCGCACTAGAATCGTTGCCCATGGTGACACTTGAGGAGAAAGCCGAAAAGAAGGTTTAGTGTTGGAAGTCAAGGTAGAAGGAATAGTAGGAATTGAAGGAGATTAAATATGAATACAGTTATCTTGAGTACTGTTAGAGGTATGAGGGCAGTTATCACTTTCCGGTCGCCCACACCTTGGAAGAGTTCTTTTAGAAGTACCTGAAAAGGAAATTGGATTAGAAGTGGTCTTAATGACCTGAGAGCGTGACCGCAGTGCCCAAGGGACAACTGCTTGAGGTCGGCCACACACGACCTTTTTGAGGGTAATTTTTTTGTGTCAGCTCTGTACTTGTTGGGACCTTACTGTGGGTTTAGGAGAGGAGTGCATTTTCAAGGTCGACCTTTTCTAACCCCACCCCTCCTTGTTTGAAGGCAGCATCGCTGTTATGCTGGTTGTCTGAAGGAAACACCTTACTGCCGTCACACCTCTGTACAGTCAGCAGTACGACTTCGCCTTCGGACCTTCGGTTTGCTGTTCTTGGGTTTATCGCTCTTCAACCGACCTGTATGGCATGGTAGGACCTCTGAGAATGATTGTTCCAGCCAGTATGGCTAGATCGGTTCATCACGATAGGCAAACCCGACCACCACGTCAAAGTAGCAACAACGGTCAGGGTAGAAGAGCAACAATCTATGTTCTTTAAAATCTCAGTTGTCAAGGTAGATGTAAGTAGAAAAGTAATTTCAGAAAGATCCCAAATATAAAAGTTACTTCAGAAAGGATAACTACAACCAAATTAACTATAAATCGAGAAAATATAGATCTTTAAGAAACATTGTCTGTTATAATTGATTCAAGAGAATTCAGTTATAAACGGTTTCAGTAAAGGTTTTATGAGATATACTTGATTCGAACTTTTCACAGGACTTAAAATAAACATAACATTTGCCGCAACTTATTTACAACTTATTCACGAAATAAAGGGACCCAGGTTGTATGCAAAACTTTTAGGTAAAATCTAAGCGCCGTATTCATGATGAGACAGTTATCTAGTTTCCATGGGTATTATATATTCAGGTTTCGATAATTACACCAATCAGGTTAACTTTTTTATGCTTAGCATAAGTTATGATGAAAACAAGCATTACCATTAAAATAAAGACAAAACCTCATGTGATCCATAAAAGTTTAAGGATGACAGTAAGATATTCATTATAATTGAAAAATTTGCGTAAATCTTTCATCTAAGTATTGATTTCAGCGGAATGGACAATAGGAAGATAATCAACGAAAGGTTTCAAACGATTACACTAAATTTTTACCTTGTTATTGAAAACACTAATTCGAAAATATTTTACGTGAAATTATTATTGAGAGATGCCAAGAATTATCAGTCTCTGTATTATAACTGAGCAACATAGACAAAGAATTGGAAACAAATTTCTGTATAATAAATTCACTTTTACAAGCTACAGGAGAATTCCTGAATTTGAAAATGACATTTCTCACTTGATATTACAATTTTACTAACACCGATGGCTAATTACCTGACCAACAAACACAATCAGTGTCCGACGGCGAAACCGTACTGCCGATTGAACTGGAATGTGGTAACACTGAGGTGTTTCCCCACATGACCAGGTATCTACAACGATGCGAATAGTTAAGCTTTAAAACTACCACGCCCTACCTTGCCCCACAGATTTCTCTTGCCGATGGTAAAGCCTTTAAAGCACAGAGCTAGCACATGAAGAACTACTGGGATAAAGACAACGTGTGACTGGGTTTAACCAGTTGTCCTTTGGGCTATGCGGCCGCCAAACCACTACCGGTCTAGTTTTCTTTCCAGATGCCTAAAGAACTATATTTCGCAGTGGGGCCAGCCATAAAGTCCCGGTTATCTACATACTTCTAGCAGCAAACACCAAAGGATACAAACATACTTCAGCAAAAAAAATCTAAGGTGCTTATTTGTTGATGAAAGTAAACTGATAGTGAAACAGTCCAATGAATTCACGCGAAAAAAGTAATTCAATGGGGAAAAAACAAGATATCATACCTTAATCATACTGCTCTGTTGTTCACCGTAAGCAAGTTGATCACATTTACGTCGCTTCAAGTCAGAAAATCCAATAAATGGAACTGGAATCATACGATCAGGATGTGGATTGTCGAGACAGGCCTAGATACAGTTCGGAAATTTCAATTTTGGAAAAAAAAAGTCAACGTTTCTATAACATATACATATATAAAGCTGATAAAAACACTATACAAACGTAAGTGATAAAGTGGATCTCTCACACAGAAATAAGTAGAATTGCTGAGAATACATAGAAATAACTGTTAAAGAATGAGTAAAACGCCATCTATTGTTGTAAGCATAAGCTTTCGCGGTTATTTACTGGTTTTATGCCTCAATATACCAATTCAAATGACTTGGAATTTATTTAAAATAAACGAAAATACTAAAAGTTCATTTCCGTGAGATAATGAAATTAAAATTATGCCTAAATGATAGTGAGTAATAAATATGGAATAAAATAATTTATTTTTTGAAAAGAAATATATATTTCTGTCGTTTTTTAGATCATAATTAATGAATGAAAACGTTCAAAATATTTACGAATCATTCATAATACATATAACAAAAGTAGTGACAAACTGAACAAAACCTAATGAGTGTATTTTAAGAAAGTACAACAAAAAAATCTAAATGTAGGAAGATATCCGGTTCTGATTTCAATACATTACTTCAAACAGGTTATTGAATATTACACATTTAAAAGTATATGAATTAGTTTACATATTATACCGATTGCGCAATAGATATTACCTAATTTTATACAAACCGAAGTAGATGAAACTAGTGTAAAACAGTAGCGATACCCGATTTTAACAGTAATTCGATCCATCTATCAAGTACAGGTTTATGTAATCGACGATGAGTCACATTTAAGGTTTAAGAGCTAGCAACACTAACTGAATACCTAAAGTGAAATAGCTGAAAAGAACTTCAAATCGTCAACTTATTGACTGAAAACCGACTATTCTTTAACCACTACACAGTGATCAGATAATCGAATGCCGAATGTATAAGTTGGAGCAGCGAGTCAGTGGTTGAGGCCTTCCACTTTCAGTCAATGTGTTGTAAGTTTGAATTTGTTCCACCTTATTAAGTTTGTGTAACATCACTAAACCATTTACTTAGAATGTGGCTCGGAGCCGATACAAGAATCTGTATCCGGCAAAAGAATTAATAAATAACGAATGCATAAAAATATCTCAAAAAGTTCAGTAAAATGAAAAAATTTTGCACATGTGTTATAGATTTACCTGTTGCCATATTAGTCTGTCAAAACCAGCTGGTGGATTCTCATTATATGCGACTATCTGTGCAGCAGACGGAGATATTTCCGGAATTAAACGGTTCACACATAATTGTGATTGAAGTTGCGGCCCAACTGATGGGCTTGATAAATACTTTGCAAGCTCACTGGCAGATATAGTCGATGTTGTACCTTCAACAGGAAGAGTGAAACACAATTTCAAAACACTAAAATACCACTTAAACCAACTATTTATACGATAGATCTTAAACCATACCTATTGCAAAACATCAATCAATAATTTAGAATAAATGTGAGTCGGTTCAAGTTGACATACATCATGTCAGCATATTGAAAATCAGTTAACACGAAATGTTGAAAAAATAATACAAGCTGCAGTATAAGACAAAAAGAGAAGAATATAGGCCGTCATATTATCATCAAAAATACACCTCTTATTTGATGGCTGTGAATACCATGTCTGTATAGAGTTAAGCTAAGTGGATTCTTTCTTGTCGATTTAGAAACAGAATCCAAAAACAATCCAGGTAGCCAAAAATATGTCCGATACATAGAAAACTGACGTTTATACAAAAGCTATAGAGTACTATGTACACAAAATCACCAGTTGCTTATGAAACAGCTAATTAGTTATGCAGTAAATAAAATTCATTCTGTATCTTTTACAAATAACTCACGAATTATTGAGGTCAGATAAAACTAGGCCTAGAAGTGAGTCCATACCTATTCCATCAATTTGTCTATAATAATTTGTTGAAGACAAAATAGACGTTCAGAGTACATCTTAGGAGTAATTCTATCAGACTATCCTCAAAGAACCCACTATTGATTTGATTTTCCGATATTTGCTTATATCACTAGTTGAGGTGATTGAATTATTGAAATTATAAATATGCAGGAAAAGTTAAAATATTAACTACCAGATATTAGTGAGATAGAAGTGACGATGAATTGCGGAAAAGTAAGTCGAACTATCATGACATAGTAAGCAAAGATGGATAGTGGATAGCAGTGGAATCCAGGACGCGCGTTTCGTCCTATTTGTGGCTCGTCAGCTGGACGTACCTGCATCTCAGAGTTGATGTTCACACTGGGACTCGAACCCAGTACCTTTCGCTTCAAACGCCATCGCGTTATCCACTCGGCCACTGGGGACGAGACGCGCGTCCAGGAAATATGTGATGTGTCCCGTTAGGTGAATGACATAAGATACCCTGACCTAGTGGTCTCATTACATTAGATAATAGTTTCACAACACTAACAAATTTCGAGCGCCATTCGGTATTCTCTATCTTCAATAAATATACTTTGCATAAATTTATTGAAATATATTACTCTAAGATACAAGTACTTAAACAACCGAGAAGAATAATGTTAACACACAAACCTACATCTGCCATTCTCCCAACGTATTTTTTTCAGAACTGAATGGTGGAATCTTGATTTTAGAAAAAACATTTATTTTACAAATCTCAAGAGGACTAGGAATAGTGGAAGTATAGGGTAGTAAATAATTATGGTTTATTAATGGGATAGCTTAACAAGACGATACCACCGCCGTATGTTAACCAAAAACGCATTGTAGTGAAAATTATGGGTTTAGAACAGCATATATAAGCGAACAATATTGTTTTCGATTAGATCCTCATTAGGCTTTACTCTAATATACAATAATATTTATATGCATATACGAAATTATTAAACCAATCAAGGCAGTTTATGAGTCAATGAAAACAGTGGAATAGATTACATAATCAAAATTAATAATAAGTGAAAAGTACAAATTGATAGTGTAGTGACAGGTGTACTAGTTGTGATAAGTATAATAAAAGTCTTGAATCAATGTTACATAATAGGAAAATAGGTCAATGATTAGAAAAATATAGACTCTGAAATAACATTCATAGAAATTATAAGATTACGTAATAAGAAGTGTTCAGATAATTGGAAGCGAATATTAGAAAAATTATAGGTAAATAATTGATAGGGGGTGAAGAAAAATAAACGAAGAGTATGGAAAATAAAATTATTTATTAAGGCCAAGGGAGGGATAAGGGTGTTACAAATTTCTTATGAACACAAAATGCTGTGCAAATCATTAAACACTTACTAAAAACAACAACATACTAATACTATGATACAGTTAATAGACCAAATGAAGAACTAACTTACCAGTAGCTAATCGTTCCACGACTTTCAATATGACCTCAGTACTATCTTCAGCTTCAGCACATGGACGAATTTCTTCCACCACCAGTTGTAAATTAGGACGACCACCTAATAGTCTAAATAAAATATCTTGTACAGCTTGACGTTGATTTGTAACTTCAGAGAATGGACGACCAATATATAAACAAACAAGTCCATCAGCATCTGTGCTTGTAGGCAAAACATTGTATCCAATAGATTTTAATCGAGCAAATGTATTCTCTGATGTATAACTCACTATACCCACAGCACTGTAACCAATACCAGTACCCCACATTGCTTGTAGTTGATTCCAACGAGCTATGACTGAATCACGTTCATCACCAAACAACATAGGTTGAGATAGAGAAGCAAAAAAAGCATCGACTGTATTCTGTTGTGCAACTTGTAGCTGTTGTTGTTGCTGCTGCTGGGCAGCTACAGGAAGACTTTGATCAAAACCGAAACCCTGCGCTATAATAAACGAAAAATGTTTACAGTTAGCTGCTGTATAACACACATAATACAAACTTCAATTATGAAATGATGGAATGCAGTGTCATTAGCAAGGTAGTAATAACATACATGCTTAAAGTTAAAAGGTGTGGCGCATATGTATCTGGTGCCCTTTTTGTACCAATATGTATGTGTTTAAATAAAATTAAAAAAAGTTAAGACTTTACTAAAATAATATCCATGACATATGTCCCAAAGTCTTTAACTCAGTAACCAAGTACAGTTATTTTAACTTCACTCTGAATTATTCTTAGGTGAATGCTAGTAGCACAACTTCGTTACCTAAATAGATGTAAATTCAGCGAGTTCTGAGCCTACAAACAAACCAATAAACATTTTCTAGAATACTTTTTATAATTTTACCAACAATTAGAGAACAGCAAAGTAGAATTGACGTGAATAATTCAGATGATGGTTCAAAACTAACATAATAATAATAATTTGTGGCCTCATTCAATATTATGTTGCTAGCACACTATAGAATTCTCAGTATACAATTTATCAACAATTTCCTCTTACACTTCTTGCATAGAAAACAACAGGTAACTCTCTCTCCTACGTTGTAGCTGACTGACTGATATAAAGTAAATAAATAAGTTTCACACTGTTGTTTAGCAAGATATAAATTATGGATGGCTGTATAAATACGTAACAAGACATTTAGCCCGACAGCGAACGCTTTTCTTCATTAAGACCAGTATATTAGGTCCCCTTATTGAATACGCTAACATAAAGCACCAGAGGTGCCTTCTGGAACTAATATAAACTTAACCACCATATATAATGTAATTATTGAGATAACTTTGAGACGAAACTTAATACAATAGTGTTTACTACAAATAGCACATGTAACCATTGCGTATCTCACGTTGAACATTGAAGACTGAACAAAATCCATCGTAAAACAACTTTGACCGCTCACATAAAATGAAAATTAATAATAGAATTAGTCACACAAGTTTATCTGAAGATAATGATATAGTAGCTCACTTTTTGGGGTGTTGAACAAGCTTTGAGTCGGTTGTGTGAAGCTAAATCCAGTATTCTGAGATGCTTGTTGACTAAACTGAGCTCCAAATAGATTTAAACCCGGTTGAGTACTGGTGGTGGGAGCAGAAAAAGTAGAACCAAACAACCCAGTGGATGTTTTCGGAGTGTTTAGGTTAAACCCTTGAAAAGGAGTTGTATTTTGTCCGAATCCAGGAAAGGTTGTATTGGTTGTTTTTGCCGCTGGCGCTTGAAATAATCCTGAACTCATAGTTGAAACAGTAGACCCCAAACCAAAGCCTCCAAACGGTGTTGTTGTACTGGCGAGTGGTGGCTGTAATCCAAAACCAAGAGTTGGAGCTGCACTAACAGCGCTTGTCGTCGGTTGTGAAAACCCAAACAACTTGGGAGATCCAAACAAACTCATCTGGAAATCAAGCGAAATACTAGTAGTATGATTTTTATATATGGAAGCCAAGTCTATGTCGTTACAAGTTTTACTTTCGCTACTGTAAACTGAATTTCCGATATTCATAGAGAAAGTGTATGAAAAATAATGGTAATAAAACGCTTACCTAACAACAGATTTACAGAGGAAATAAGGGTTTAAGTACTCGACCTTTCAGCTAAATTTATTGACGGTTGCAGATGTAAGTCAACTAAAATGAATTCGGGACTTGCAAGTCAACATTGAAAAGTCAAGCGTCGAAGTCACAGGACAACAGTTTCGCTGATAAATAAAACTGAAGACTAGTAAGAAGGCGAGAAGAAATCACGTCCAGAAAAATCCCTCAATCAACCTAATTTACTAAGCTCCGTATTAGAAGAATTATAATATTAACAGCCCTACTCTAATGCTAATCAATATAGAAAGCCTGAGTATCATTTGTTTTGACTACACTACGTAATCATACCACATTCCATGAGTACGCTTCAGTAACTAGTTTTTATTTAAGGACCATTGTAAACGGAGACTAGATAAATTTTTGGAATTTGCTCCTATAGTTTTTGACATCAAGTGATTTTTACATTTAATCAAGGCACTTCACTTCAAGTAAACACCGAACTCTAACCCAGAGAAACCTTTCTTGACTTGGAAGATAGCCAGGACATCGTTCGACTCTCCAATTTTCAATAATACAGTATATCTTGATTTAGAACAGATAACAGAGTCAACGTTGAATTTATTTCGAACTATTTTAAGTACCAAGCTACTATCGAATACTAGACAATTCGATAATAGACTGAGCGTCTAAAACACAAACAGTATTAAACAATCGTTCGGACATCTGAATCTAGAACTTGTAGACAGATTCTTTTTATTCATTCATTGCACGTAACTGTTGTGGAGAAAATAAGAAAACTTGGAAAACTACAAGCTGTTGTAAAAATTTACTCAAATTTGGGTTTTTTAGGAACCACACTATGTGTGTTTCACGAGATGACTATAATTGTTGACGAACAACTGTCAGTTGAGTATCTTTTGCTTAAAAACGAGCGGCAAGTCTTCTGATTCTCATTATAGTGCCAGAAGAGTCGAAGAATAAAGCCTAGAACGCAATTCAGGGAGTAAACAAACAGTTATACCATTCAGTCATTTGCAACACATTCATACGTCTGAATTTGTGAATAAAAATGATGTCATTTAAATCATGCGCCATTAGCTCATGAATACCCAAATATATTGACAGAAAGTTAGTTTCACGAAAAACTCATACAGACTACATGCTCAACAAGGCTTACCCAAACAAACTAGAATGGGGTAATAAATGTGAACTTGGTGTTAATTCAAGTAGAATGAATCGTAATCTCCCCACGATAAACGAAAGGAAGCTTTTGATAACAAGGCCGTCTGAATTAACACCAGATTTTCTGGACAATGTCGCCTATATTCCCCCCAAGTTCACCTTCATTTCCCTATTACTGTTTGCTTGTGTTATCGTATTGACGGCTTATTGTGATTAGTGGATTTTGGAGATGCATAATTGGTTTAACAATCTTGGGGTTAATGTACCTTCAAAATAGTAATTTAGTTAAGTGATCCAGACGACGACAAACAAAAGCCAACACCTATGAAACCCTGAACATGCTAACCTTGAGGTTTGAGCAAGTCTTCGGTAGAGGCCTTGAAATGTTCAGTTCTATTGCCAAACACTCTGTTACAATATTCGAGCTGCAACTAAACGATAAAAATTGATATTTTTCAAAATCTTCGAGGCATAAGTAACAAACTGCTACTTCTGTGGGATCTCAAATACGTTTCAGTGCTAAAACATATTACTGATTCATCTAAATGAAGGACAACAAACAAATTGCTACCTAGCTAAAGGCACTCGGTCACGCAATCAAACCAGATCACGAGTGAATATGTCGTGCTTCACACATCTTAGGACGGCCAGTCAGCTTAGATTGATCACTTCTCGATATATCCATAACCTATTAAAAGTATCTTCGGACTTCTTCGCTCCTGACTTTTGGTTTGACTGGCTGTACACGTTTCGATTACAAAAGATGTTACTGATCAAAAATTTTTCAAACTCCGAATACTTGTGGCACCTTTACAGGAAAGTAACATCTTTACTCATCTGAGGTACATGGTGACTAGCTTCTTTCTAAATTAGGTCTTAAGTATGTACTGAATGTGATTTTTATTGACTTGATGATGCTACGGACACGACAGAAGGGAAAAATGCTGTCATTAGAGTACCTAACCAACTGATCAAAAGATGAACATGGTTGAAGAAAATGATGACCAGAAGGGAGTTATATCTGATTCTATCCAGAGATTAAATAACGTTTGACCGCTAAGCTAGTTACTAGTCGCAGTGGTGTCGTTTTACGTCGGAACGCGTCGTGACTGGTTTGAACGCTTTCCCAATCTCCGTGCATCCGTCATTCAGTAAAAATAAACCGTCAACACCAGTGTCCAATATTTTAAAAACCTCTTGTTTTAGAAACTTTACCTCCAAAAGTCTAAAAATCAGAGTGGGGAATATAAAATATATGTGTACTTTACGACAGTGTGAGGGACATACCAATTATATCAACCCTAATTCAGGAACTACATACGATAAGTAATACTAATTCAGTATAGTGTGAGCAAACTCCATTTCCTGGTAATGTCATACGACAGTATTTCGTTGGACGATTTTCTGATTTAATTACCACCGAAATACACAATCATGTAAAGTGACGAAATTCGGGGATAAATACAATCGCTGATCCATTTGTCAACATAAGGACGTATAAATTTTATCGGATTTAGCAATGATATTGTATGTAAATCGCTTTTCAGGAATGAATGCAGTTCATCCAAAGTTCATAAAACATTGAATTAAAGTAATCTAGTGCGAATTTGAATGCTACAATGAAAAATGTCAGCTAGGTTTAACACAGTGAGAAATAAAAATTTACGGAACTGACATGTGTTTATGTATAGATCTACTTTGAAAGCAGTGGTGATGATAATGAACAATAGACCCCAGGCAATATCACCTTTATTATGTCTACTCAGGGTGCCCAAAAAGTGGGCAGATAAATTATGGGTTATGAGTATTTCAGATGCATATTTTCTGGACGTTCATATGGACAGACAGATCGAGAGATTTAAATGGCTTTGGCAAGGAAGATAGGTGCTACTTGTCTACATATTCTAACTAAACAAAATCCTTATTATACGTGAGCAATAGATTATAAGTGCAAATAGCAGACATGCATATAAAACACACTTGTCTTCATAGAAAAAGCATAGTCTAACATTATAAGGGTAAAGTAGTATATTTGACAGCTAGCTTTGAGGATACATAAAAAATAACGAAGATTTCAGTAGTTCATCTGTCACATTATTTTTCTGATTGCTTTTAACACTTGCTCGGGTGTTATAAAGAGTCACTACAAAGTCTAGGCGAACGGACGATAAATCCCACGTTGTCAAAGATTATTACATTCACCGAGGTTCTTTAAACTTAACAGATCTGGCCTGTTCGCATAATCCAAATAAAACGACCGTACAATTTTGTGAGTGAGTTCTATTAACTTGAAAAGTTTCTACTTGTAAACTTTTTGTCTAAACATTATCCGCCTTCTTTCGAAGTTGTTTTACAATTAGCTACAACATAATGTATAAAATAAACAAACTGAGTGACGTACAAATGAATATACGATTTCGCTAAATTTTACGACAAACACAAGTAAACCGTAAAGTAAGCAAGTAAATTAATTAGTATTTTTATGTAAGTGGGATCTCAAATCAACGAAATAGAATCGCATAGATAGATCGCTTGGTGATGTCGCACAATAGTAACACCTATTTTTAATGTTGGTATATAATATACACAAGTTTAAATACGTGATCTGGTTAATACAGTTTTATAGGTAACGCTTGTAATTCATAGGCTTATCAATCGAGTGTGCTTCGGTAAAGGGAAACATCAAACTCTAAACGTAACAAATATGAAACTTGAAGTGCAAAGTAAGTCTCAAAACTCTGAGTAAAGTGGTATTACTGTAAAACATTCAGTGCTTTGATACGGTCCAAAACAATTGATGCATTTCGTGGGCAAAAAATTGCTCTTAGGCACAGAAATAGAGAAATGGGAAGCTCTTATGTTACTGATGAATATTTAACTGAAAGATCGGCCTACTAGCGGCTTAAAATTGATTCCCACTACTTTATTCCATGCACGCGAAATCCCTCAGTTTTCCAAGAGTCATTCTCATTTTCCTATATTTTATTTTCACGCTACTGCGACCTGGTTATTCCTTGTGAGTCTGGTGGGAGTAGAATCAGTGCTTCTTTGGTGGGCGCTAGTGGGGCTTTCACTAGCAATTCCATCAAGATTTGTGAGTGATAACTACAATGAACAGCTGACAGGTTTTCAATTCTCCAACCGTGTTTCAGGTTCTCAGATGTTGTAGGCACTGAGTGACAACCTTTGTCCTTTCGTCCTTAGTATGAGATTCTATGATGCCGAATAGATTACGTCTCGAAGTAAATACTTGTTTTCTTATTGCTTAAGTACTGACACACCTGTAGTTGTCAAAAAGGATTGAGTTAAAGATCAACCAGCCAACATGCCTGTGCTGCTTTCCAAAGAAAGTGTTTAAAGTCACAGGTTACTCTGTCCAAATAAGAAAAATTTACTAAGCACCTCTAAGCTACATTTAGTGGAGATATTTTCGACTTATTATACACCATGACCACCTGAGATTATATCAACTTATTAATTGCTTCTAAACCAAGAGAGTTTGCCATAGTCTCAGCTCGTTTTGCATGATTCAAGTTAAGAGCTATAGTGCCTGACAAATTAGCATGTTATTAAAGTCACATCACCGAATTTGTTTGGTGCATTGATAAATCTTGCTGATTGAACGCTATACTCAAATCCTACGCTAGTCTCGTTCCCTCAGGCTGAATCTACACAGCTACTTGAACACAAGAGAAAAGGCACAAAATATGCGAGAAGCACTTTACTCAAGAGGTTCGTTCATGTACAGAAAATATACGGATTTTATAGTACTTTCAAAGTCCTTGAAAATTCTGGATCGCCACTAAGCATGGTAGCAGTGTAGTAATCAGCCAATCAGAAACTGTACATGTGGTTATTCACTTTCGTTTATGGCAAAACTTTTAGTCAAATTCGGTGATTGGATAAAATGCATCATTTTTTCTGTCTATTGCAAGAAATGTTCAGGACCGCCCTAGCATGCATTATTGGTAATAACTCATATTTATGGATATTTTCTATATCTCATATGATATCTGTACCTTTACAGATTTTATCACAATGATAATAGTATGAACAGATAACCGTTATCATGATGAGAGGACCCATTCTCATCAACTACATTTTTCTTGGTGCCACTACCTGAGCTGTTGATTTTATACCGCTTATATAAGCGGTGTCCTTGACGTTGCTTGAGTTTTCAGAGCAAGTCAACTTCTCATCTGGGTGGTGGGAAGTTGGCTGTTTCCAGAAAACACCGAAACAAACTTTTCAAAGGGTTACATATGCTGCGTACTCTCTGATCCGAGCATTCTTATTGTTCTACTAAACGCAGTTACTAAGTATGTGCGAGTTTATTTTCAAGAGTTTCTCCTTTAGTCAACTGCCGACAAATGTGCTGAATTAGCCCAGTAATGAACCAGTGAAATAAAGATATTTACGACATAACAAAAAAACATCGTGAGTTCTAAAGATGAAGCAAGATGCTAAGACTCGTTGACAACAAATTAGGATTTCAAGTAATGTCAACATAATACTGCGTTTGGATAGATGTCACAATTATAATTCCTACATATACCCATAAAAGGGACGACAGGCGTCTAAGTCAAGGGTTAACTATTGATTCATTTACCCAATTTTTAAAGGATAATAGAGTAATATGGAAAACCAGTGCAGATTACACTTTGTAATAACTACGCACACGTCAAAATGTTATATTTTTGATCGCTAAACACACGCTTCAAGTTTCTTATTCATACCTAAGATCTGGTGATTCCAAGACTTTCTGTGACGCGTAATCACAGATAAGTATAACAAGATAGTTTGTGTTATCGCACTCGTAATTACCAGTCAACGATAATTTCAAATTACAAAACAAAAACTACGAATCTAGCTTATACCTGTACACATCTGAATCGTAGCAACAATCGTTATTAGACGGAAAATGAAGACTTAAATCGTTGTACTAATATACACAATAAATCCCTCGTCCTCATCCAATTTGCACTAATAAAAATCAAGAAGTAAATGAACTGGAAATTATTTATTGTTGCCTTGATAAAATATACACAACAGCACTTGAAATGCGGGGTGACCTCTTTCATTGAATGTGGTAATTCAGAGGAAGTATACTAAAAAAATACAAGGATGGTCATCGATACTTTCCATCTTATAAATTAAGAGTAGTGGTGATATATGAATGTATGAACATGGATCAAGTTTGTGCTTGTAATTTCGGCTCTTGGTTTTGTTTTTGCTCTTGTTGAAGTTTACGATTTTGAATCCTGTGAACAATTCGTTCAAGTATCCGTCGAGCATCACAATCAGGGAAATTAGACATATCATAATATTGAGGAGCGATACGCACAAGCCTATATGTAGAAAGGACATGGAATAAAGAAAGTACTAGCAATACAGTAAGTACTTTGTGAGGTAATAATAGTTAATAGGAGATAATATAAAGTTTTATTGCTTTTCTTCAAAAGTACTCAACACAATTAAATGTTAAGTTACTTTCAACTAATTTAAAATATAGGTTATCATTTATTAACGTTTAGTGAAGCTTAAAACCTCATTCAATAAAATTCCGAAACTATGAGCACTTTTTTGAATGAATTGGGCACTTGCAATTATAACTGAAACCACGTACTATTCACTCCTTAAAGATACGCCTCAAATTAACAGTCAAAATGGAATTTATTTATATATCGATAGAATCCTTACTGATTAATTCGATTCAATATTTCTGTAGAATATTTTATTGCACATTTACGTATTTTAAAATAAACTCACTTGTTTCTATCCAAATGCTGACACAAACAAAACGAATGTGCATTGGTACAGTTACGAATGGACTTACATTCAAGAAATAAAGTCCAGTCAAAATCACCTTTGATCATAAGTAATCTCTCATTTATTCATTTTACTGATTCCACTCAAATAATATATATAACTGAAATACAGTTTTAACTAACAAAATAATGACGTATTAAGTCGAGCACTGTGTTTGGATGGTAATCAGCAGAACTTTCACTAGTTGTATATGAGCATACAGGTTAGTATGACAGTTAAAATGTACGCTTTGCGGGCTAAGAATAATTTGAATTTCACTGAGTCATAGAACAGTCAACTGAATATGAAAACTACAGAAAGCTTACCAATCTGGTTTTACTTCAGTCACTGTACGTATATAATTCTTTGTTGTAAGGACGAACTCGTTGTATAACACCCATTCCGGTTTGTGATCCATTACTGTAGAGGGGTGAAGCTGGACCACTTGATTGTCTTTTACAGTTAAATAATGTCCAGTACGTTCAAGATGAGCAACCTAGGGAAGAGGGGGAGTAAATGATAATTAAGTTGACTAATCTTGCTTCAGAGGTCCAGGATAATAAAAAAAAGCAAATTTAGCAGAGTGATTACAGCTATGTGTGTTTAGTTACAATCTAGGATACTATGAAGACTAGTAATATTACTACCAAAACAAGATGGAATAAATGGGTTGTAAATTGAACAGATGATACAAATAATTGAAAATGTTTTGCATGTTGAATAACATTCGTTTGAATTGTAAACAGTATTTATTTAGTCCTGTGAGGAAATTATACCAATGTAGAACAATCCGGAAAAGAATGAATAAAAACGTCGACCTTAAAATCGACAGAAACAAAGATACATATTAAAGTGCCATTAAAATGAAACAAAGGACTTTATCATACCTGCATGAAAAAACCAGATACTAAAGCTTTTCGAATGTTAATGTAATAATCTCGAGAAGTGAAGTCTGTACTAGAACGACGAAGAGAAAATCGATCCATAATACGCGATAATTGTACCCGAACGTTGTCGGCAGATTTTAATGAGCGAAAATTTATGAAATTATCGTAACACCACTGTGGATCTTCATGATCTATGAATGTAACAAACAAGTTTATTTGTATTAGAAAAATAAATCCGAAATTAACGTAAATTCTTACAATAAACACATTTTTAAAATTATATTACTAGCATCATGTAATGCTCTCAAGAAACCAACTGAATGTCAAATCTACCAAAACAGATATTTAATATTATCTGGAGTGAAACTATGAATTGGTATCACACTGATCTGAAATTATTCAGTCACTGGCTTGAAAAACTCACTAGGGTATCCAGTTCAGTACTACATGTAGTTGAAAAACCCTACAGATGGTTTGGAACTACATCAACAGACCAACATCTATTGCCTTTGAGTTATTTATCATGAAACTGTCAGTATGTCTTACTTTTTTCATTTAAAAAGAACTTATCCCCAAACTAGTAGTCTTTGGTTTAACATTCTGAGTTATGATAATTTGTGGAAATGATGTATCTTAAAGGATATCCTATAAGTGGTTCGATATTTTACTTCATACTGTTGTGAAAGTCTACGGAGAAAAAATTATATGAAATGACATCAATCAGGTGGATAACAGAGAACCTGCCAAACAAACAGACTAACAAAGGTTAAAAATCCACAGGTCACAACTACCGCCAAACTACGTCGTTCAGCAGAAACGGGAATATTGTTACTGTTATCATAGCGCTTAGAAAAATTTGTGATTGTCTGTTGATTTTGTGATCATTGAGAGGACAAGGGACGTGTGCCATGGACCATACAGACATAATATTCATTGACATATTTGGTGATCCCAATATTCCCTCAATTTGAAGGGATTTCTGATGCTGCAGAATCTCAAGTAAAGGAATACGTAAGAGTGGGGAAACGGATTTACTTGAACTGTGACCCCGAGCTTTTACAAATCTACCGAAACGTTAACAGTAGTGACAGTCAATTAGGGAAGATACATTCACAACTGGAGGTTGTAGTGGGCCTCTAGCTTTATCTTAATCATGCTGCTAGTGAGCAGAGCTTGGTCGGTTAATGTATTGGACATCCATCAACGGAGTAGATGAAGTGTTAATTGCTTCCAACTCTTCTATACGTTAAAGCAGCTTCGTCTTTCTTAGCAGTATATAGAAATGATGGTGGGCTCCTGTACATCTGCAGATAATCACTTTTCAACTTTCTCTACATTTCGGTTTATGTGGACTTGACGCGGTATATTAAGGACTGAGCCCGAGGCCCTCTGTGGAGTTAGTTACACAGTCAATTAGTCATAGGCGACGCCGAACGTAGGATACATGTACATCGGTTTAAGATGGGACACCCCTTTAGCACAGCGAGGTCAGATTTTCAGGGCGATTCCCAGAGTAACAAAGGTAGCAAGATTATGTGGTAATAAAATAGACTAGGTAACTAAGATACAATTTGAGAAAATATAAATTGTTGAAATAATTGAAAATGATTTATGAGGAATTTAGAAACCTATGATCTAAGAGAAGACAAAGAGTGGATGCAGTTTCACCATTACAAACCATTTTGAAGCATGTCACCTAGTCTCTAACCTTTGGTTACGATATTCGCGGACCCAAATCAAGTAGTCTGTACCTACCTTTATAGCTTAGTCGAACAGTGTCTTCATGGACTGATTTCATGTTTTGGTTTGGCTGCCAAAAATTTTCTTCCAATCTACATCAGACATCGCTTGTTCACGAAGGCAGTGGTTGGGGGATACGTAACACGTATCCCAACTATCTCAGTTAATGAAGATTTGTAATCTTATCAACGATTTGCCATCTTTACCTAGTACTTTATCACTAATGCAGACATTGCTTACTCGGTAGTCCCAAAATACATGAGCAATGGTTAGAAGACACCTATGATCAAATACGAGTAATCCATAAATATCTCTCATTTTTAATAGCCACTTGTCCTTTGGTTGGCAGGTGCAAATCTCGCCTACACAGCGAGTAACGCAAAGTGGCAAGAGCCAACCTGGCTTTCTGAATTTCTACCGAGATTTTTTCAAACACTAGAACCCAGCAGAAGCTAATCAGACTTACATGATAATTGAAGTGATCAACACAATCAACTACTTCACTTCATTATGGCATATAAACTACTGATTATTACTTACTTGCTTACGCCTGTTACCCCTCGTCGAGGAGCATAGGCCGCTCACCAGCATTCTCCATCCAACTCTGTCCTGAAACTTCCTTTCCAGTTAACATTCATCCTTTTCATATCTGCTTCTATTTCCCGGCGTAGTGTGTTCCTTGACCTTTCTCTTTTACGCTTCCCTTCACCATTACAAGTTAGGGATGCACATTGGTTATTTTTTGAATGTATGTCCGATCCACTACCAATGTCTTTTCCTAATTTGTTCTTCAGCTGGAAGCTGGTTTGTCCTCTCCCATAAAACGCTGTTGCTGATAATATCTGGCCAATGGATGTTGAGTATTTTGAGTAGGCAATTGTTTATAAATACTTGTACCTTCCTGATGGTGGCCGTAGTAGTTCACCACGTTTCAGCTCCATACAGTAGGACTGTCTTGACGTTCGTATTAAAGATTATCACTTTGGTATTAGTTGAGAGTTGTTTTGAGTTCCATATGTTCTTCAATTGTAGAAATGCTGCCCTTGCTTTGCCAATCCTTGCCTTTACGTCTGCATTCGACCCTCCTTGTTTATGAACCATGCTTCCCAGGTACTTGAATGTTTCCATCTCTTCCAGAGTTTCTCCATCAAGTGTGATTGGGTTGGTGTTCTCCGTGTTGCATTTGAGAATCTTGCTTTTTCCTTTGTGAATGTGGAGGCCTATCGATGCGGAGGCTGCTGCTACATTTGCATTTGTTCGTGTGTATGAGGGAGAAGAACTAGGTCATCTGCGAAGTCCAAATCATCTAATTGATCATGAGAAGTCCATTGTATTCCGTATTTCCCCTCAGATGTCGAAGCCTTCATAATCCAGTCAATCACTAGAAGGAAGAGGAATGGGGAGAGTAGACAGCCTTGTCTGACTCCGGTCCTTACTGGAAATGCATCTGTTAGCTGTCCTCCATGCACCACTTTGCACTGTAGTCCATCGTATGAGTTTTAGATAATGTTGACAATCTTTTCGGAACCCCATAGTGTCGAAGAAGTTTTCATAATGTTCTCCTGTCCACGCTGTTAAACGCCTTCTCATGGTCAATAAAGTTGACGTATAGTGATGAGTTCCACTCAACTGATTGTTCAATGATGATCCGTAGTGTCGCAATCTGGTCTATGTACGACCTATTATTACGGAATCCTGGTACTGATAACAAACTGATGCCTCTGTAGTTCTCACATTGGCTCAGATCTCCCCTCTTTGGTATCTTGATGAGATATCCTTCTTTCCAGTTCATTGGCACTTGTTCCTATTCCTAAATCTTCTTCAATAGAAGGTGAAGCATGTTTGCAGTTATTTCAATGTCTGACTTCAGTGCTTCTGCTGGTATATTGTCAGGTCCTGGCGCCTTCCCACTTTTGATTTGTATGATGGCCATCTTGACTTCTTCGATCGTTGGTGGAGTGACATCTATTGGAAGGTCAGTGTGAGCTGGTTCGATGTTCGGTGGGTTCAATGGGGCTGGTCTATTCAGCAGTTCCTCGAAGTATTCTGCCCATCTTTTCCTCTGTTCCTGAATCTCAGTGATTGTCTTTCCTTCTTTGTCCTTGACTGGTCTCTCTGGTCTGCTATATCTCCCTGCCAATTTCTTCGTTGTATCATATAGTTGTTTCATATTCCCTTCTCTTGCAGCTTTTTCCGCCGCCGTTGCTAGTTCTCCCATGTATTTCTGCTTGTCTGCTTTAATGCTTTTCTTCACTTCCCTGTTTGCTTCTGCGTAGTCTGCCTGTGCTTTGACTTTCTCTGCTCGTGTTCGGCTGTTGTTAATTGCTAGTTTCTTGTTCTTCCTTTCTTGAATTTTGTCCAGGGTTCCCATAGAGATCCATTCCTTGTGATAACGCTTCTTAGGACCAAGAACCTCCTGACAAAGCGTACTGATTATTAGTAATATAAAATTGTTAGTATCAAAATCACTAGTATGTAATGTTAATTTGGATAAGTTTTTTTAATCAACTGGGAATATGCCATCAATCAAACCAAATATAGGTAATATACATAGATAAAAAAATAATGTAACTACATATCAGATAAGCTATATTAATTATCTCCATAAAACCCGCCAATTTCGCAAGGGTCATAAAATAACATTGTAGGTGCATAATTAAACATAAATTGGCATATCAATTCTCAGAAATCGGGTTTAGACGAATGGAAATTGTTTTCTGGATACAATCGAAAATCAATTTTAAGAAATGGCTTTTTAGCTTACTTTGTTTGAAGGCATGATATACATTTAACATAGTTAAGTGGTCACCATCAATGTGAGCGAAACGCATTTTGGCTTCGTCTGCGGTTTTCTTGGAGTCGGCAGGGCGTACAAAACATTGAGGTACTGAAATAAATAGGAACAGTTCCATATATTATAGATATTAACAGACGAGGAATCGGTCAAACTAGTGAAAAGATCTATCACACACTAACTAGGAATAATGAAACAAAAATACAATTGAACTTACCTGATAACATTGAAGTGATGCTCAGAATTTCATTTGAACAGTTGTAATCGCAAGATGCAATAACCATTTTGGCTAATTGGGGATCTAGTGGGAACTCAGCCATCATACTTCCTAGATCGGTTAGGTTACCATCATCATCAAGGGCTGCCAAATAATTCAATAACTCTAGAGCACGCATCAGAGTTTCCGGAGCTATTATATTCAACAAAAACTCATGATAAGAAAAATGGCATTGTAAACTTTTGGTGAAACAATGATTAAATTAGCGACAGAAAAGAGCTGAGTCTTTCTGTTTCACAATTGTTATTTACACCGAAGCTTCTAAATACTAAGTGAAAAGAGAAATTTTATTAGCGAAACTCTATAACGCCGGTAAAACCAAAGATTTTGAAATGGTAAACCTTAGTAGCGCAAAATCTACCTTCTGGGTATCATAAAATATGCAGATTTCTAGACTATGTATATTACAATACTAGACTGAGAAGTGTTGGCAAAAATAGACTATAGTAACCAATATTTGTAAAAATCATTGTACAAAAGTTCATTTAGTGTAGTGTTAATAAGTGACATTCTAATTGGTCGGACGGTGTACAAGTTACAACTATTATCCCCCATTTTAATTACACTCGTAATCCTTTACTAATTACAAAAATTGATTCATTTTACCTAAATTTTGAGACAAAACATTTACCACAAATATTCACCGACTATATTACTATTTGATTTAAGAAACGTCAAAAATGAAGTTCATATGGATTCATCCAAACGCTAATATGAACGAATATCCTGAGCAGCTTACACAATTAAAAAAACAGCAGTGCATGTTAACTTCCCACTAATGTAAACCCATAATATGGTTTTAAAAGAAATGAAAATGGCGAATCACTTTATTGCGTTGATATTAGGTATGTGTCAGACTCGGTCACCCAGTCATCTACAACGTGGGACCAAGCACATATTAGCATCGGTTCAAGTTGCCATACCTCATTAACACAACAAGATGAACACCAAACTCATAGAAGCAGTTACTTCAAAGGTAGTAATATATATAAAGTTATGATACAGGTAGAAACAATTAGTTCGTAGAAAGTGGTTTTAATCTGATGATTTAAGGGAAAACAAAGAGTGCACACACCTACGCCATTATGATCGATTTTGAGCCTTGTCACACACAGTCTCCAACCATTGATTTGATAGTCGCACGGACTCCAACCAACTAATCTGCATCTACTGATATGGCTCGGACAAGAAGTTAGTGACTTCAAGAACTGATAACATATTTTGGTTTGGATGCCTCTAACTTTCTTCTAGCAATCTCTAGAACTAGTCAGCATTGCACACAGTAGCAGTCGGTGGTTGGGCATGTGTAATACGTGGTACAACCATCTCAGTCGATGAAGATTCATCACCTCATTAACTGATTTACCATCATTCCCTAATACCCTGCGTCTAACCTCGCTATTACTTACCCGGTTATCCCAGCAGATATGTGCAATATTTCTAAGACATCTGTGGTTAAATACTAGCAACTTGCGAGTGTCCTCTTTATGTTCGACTACTTCACCCCCTATCCTTAGTTCAAATGTTGACGCAGGCCAGTCCTGGAGTAACAATTTACATTTGGATGGGGAGAATCGCATCCCAAACATCCTGGCATTATTACTGAGTTCCAACAGAAGACTTTGCATTTTCCCAGCGTCTTCACCAAACAGGACTATGTCATCTGCGCATTCTAAGTCGCTTAGTGGTCCCCCTGGTAGGAGATTAATTCCTGTAAATTCAGTCGAAGAGAGTGTTATTTCCAGCAATAGGTCTATAATGAAGTTAAACAAAAATGGGGATAGTGGACAACCTTGACGGACACCACCTGAGGTTGTAAAATCATATGACAGTTCGCCATAAGCTCTCACTCGACTGGTAGTGTTCGAGTAAAGAGCCTTCACAAGGTTTATGTACTTCTGAGGTACACCTTCCAATGACAGACACTGCCACAGAACCTCTTGGTCTACAGAGTCAAATGCTGCTTTTAAGTCAAGAAAAGCTATCTTCGTGGACGCCAATAAGTATGCCTGTGTTCTAAAACCTGACGAATAGTGAATATGTGGTCGATACAGCCACGACCAAGTCTGAAACCAGCCTGATTTTCTCGCGTTTGCGGTCCACGAGTCTTCGTTAGGCGTCCGATAATTATTGAGCCTAGTGTTTTGGATGCTATGTTAGTCAGACTAATCCCTCTATGGTTATCACAGGATGATATCGACCCTTTCTTATATATTGCGACGATCAGTCAGATGTGATTACGTTCAATTCCCAGATTTTATCTCAAGTATTAGCCAACCTAATCGCTAAAACTAGATCATTAGACTGTTGAATAATTTATCAATACTACTTGGAAATAGTTATTTCAAAGGTTTGGTATGTACTTAAAAATGATTACCTAAGTATGGGAATTTCAAGCATGTAGTACTACTACTGAAAAACAATTAGTTTACTGTATAAAATGAGAATTTTTATCTTTTTAGTATCGAATGTTGGAACGGTATTGATATAAAAACGGAATGAAGTTGAGCCCATACAATCAAAGAATTGTTTCTACAAACAAAAAGCAGCACAAATATTAGACAAATAGAGACAAGTTAGATAAATTCAGTAGCATTAGCAGTCCCAAAACATGGATTCACACTCAGTACCTACCGGGAGGATCCATAAAGTCAAAATGCACCAAATCATCAATCCCCAGTTTTTTCAACTGGAGGACAACAGTACCCAGGTTTGATCGAAGAATTTCTGGATATGTGTTCTCTTGCATCTCATTTGTATATGCCTTTTCTGTATACAATCTAAAACATTTTCCAGGTCTTGTACGCCCGGCCCTTCCGGCACGTTGTTGTGCAGAAGCCTTGCTGATAGCAGTGACTAAGAGAGATTCAACACGAATACGAGGATTGTAGACTTTTTGCTTTGCGAAACCTGGGTCAATAACAAAAACCACTCCATCAATTGTGAGGGATGTCTCTGCAATATTTGTGGACACCACAACCTATGAGGAAAATCGATAAGGTAAATATATTAGAAACACTGAAAAGTAGTACTAGTATATCCATGTTATATCAGACATGTTAATTATGATAAACACTTATCTCTGAATGAAAAACTGTCTACCGTCATCTCTTATGTAGATTCAGAAATTTTAAACATCTATATTATAGAACAGTACAGTTGACAATCCCAAGGAATGATTGTATTACATTTATACACTTTTGGTTATCAAGAAAATAAAAAAAACCATATAACACATGTTCTTACAATGCCCAGAGTCGAATTCTCAAAATATAAAGCCTTAAGTTTAGTGTATAGATACCAACTCAGAAAACGTTTCTAATAAGCAATGGATATTATAAGAGGGAATTTTGCTTGAAGTGTAAAATATCCTGTTTTGTTAAGTGAATAATCAAAAATTTAAGATAACAGTAAACGTCATTAATAAATATATTTTCTCCGCAATATATTAGATATGTTGTATTCTAATAACACCGATGGGTACAGAAACACTCATTTCTAAGGAATCCAATACTGTGGAATGGCACATCGTAACAATAATTATGGTGATAATAATAGGATATATGTCGTTCAAATAAGCTAATTGGATATATTTGATTGAATTTCAGAGAACCTTACTTTGCCTACGACAATTTCTGTTCACTTTCAAAATAATTTATTGCTTTTTGTAACTATTTATTGACTACAGTAACTAGCTGAAGTCAAACTTCATACGGCAAAATTTATCGTACATTATGTTCCATTGAATACCATTCAGATTGTTTATAGCAATCAATCAAAGTCGCACTTTTTATGGAGTGTATGCTCAAGGCAAAAGATAAAATACACCTAACACGTTAGTCGCGTAACTGAAAATAAGTTATTCTTAGGTACTCAAATCACAATGATAAGGTTAAAGTGCAAGATGCGCTCCATCAGAATTTGTCTTAACAGGAGAGCTACTGTATGTGGAATCATCTAAAAATAAAGTATACCAAAATCCTACCTGCAGAGTAGTGAGCTACCACCTTATTACAACACTTATTACCTTTAACTTGGTTAAAGTCGTCATTGAACTTCGTTTCTAACAGCCAAATTGTGGATTAAGGGTTCCGACACGATTATGTAAAACTCACTTTACCTACTTTGGTTAGAACAAACCTTAAACCAAAGTACATATAGGCCTGGATTTAGTTTTCAAGTTACATTACTTTTTCCAAATAGAAAGAATAAAAGGAAATGGAGAGTTAGCCTATAATCAACAATGAAATTTACTTAGTTTGATTAGTTTTGAGTACTATTTTTGAATTCTAATAATAAAGTCTTCTAATAGTCTTTCTCACCAACCAATTGTGATTAAGTGCCATGATGGTTGGTAAATACTTGGATAAGCTTCACATTAATCCTATCACTTGAATCGCTAGTTACTTAGCCAATTTTTGATATCAGTAAGAATTAGGATCAACCATCAATGCAAACGCATATTCGAGGTTTCGAGTCTAATAAACTCATGAAATCTAAGGAAGGTTTAGTGAAAAGTAGATCTGTAATTTGAATATTGCCGGATGAATTTTTGGTTGGGTAGTCGGATAACATTAATAGCTCTCCTACAAAGCGCAACTCAAAGCCAAAGATATAAATTTGAACAAGGATAATAACAAAACTTGCTTGTTTTTCTTGAAAAAGAACTTCAGCAACACAAAATTTTCCCCATTCTAAGGTTGATTTATTGTTTCCTTTTTTACATACTAGTTCCATAATGGCGTGAATTCAATAGGTATGAGCTGTTATAACTTGCGTAATAAGTACCATGTATTTCTGTTTTGCAAAAAAAAGTTTGCAAATAGAAGTGTTGATATATTCTGCTACCTTTCCACCTGATCAATTTACGCTTGTTATCCTTACAATTTTTGAATTTTTTTCTCGAGTACTATGTGTTGATTTGTAATGTACGACAAAGCACATGCTAAGAGAACAGAAACTTGGTAATCTTTGATAGGACAGGGTCATTTTAGTACGGAGTTTAGAGGTCAAAAAGACGGAAACAATAACGACGAGAGTACGAAAATTTGAACGTTAATTATTTTTCTGACTTAATTTGTAACAAGAATGCAGGAAACAATGAACTTGTGTGTGGCTTACTCTATAGCTACTCAAGAAAATGCCATTTAAGAGATGGTTTTTAAGGCAACGGTTAAACGAAGACTATTTAAGTGTGCAACCTTGATAGACCAAATTATATAATGAAAGAAAACAAAATCCAATTGTATTTCGAAAAAAGTTCTTACCTTTCGACCGACAGCCCCATTTGCACGTTTTGGAGGAGGAGATTCGAAAATTCTTTGTTGAAGATTTGGTGGAAGTGTAGAGTAGAGAGGAATGCAACGGAGTTCACCAACGTCCGGGCCCAAACCATCTACTTCTCTCTGGATACGTTTGCATGCTTCTTCAATCTCTTCTTGTCCCGTCAGAAACAGTAATATGTCACCCTCGATCTCTTCGCACATATGAATCTGGATTACAGTACGGATAGCTGCTTCGAGATAATCACGTTCTGGCTCTGGAGTATAAAATATCTCCACTGGATGAGTTCTACCGGGCACGGTCATAAGAGGTGCTTTGTGAAAGTAATCCTGGGTCATTTCGAAAAGGGAAGAAGTAGATGGCTTCATCCAACTCCAAATAAAATGTGATACAACTAGGATACATTTAACTAAACAAATACTTTTAAGATCTATTCATCAAACGGATAAGAACTATGTACTAACTTGAAATTTTCCAGCGTCCAAAGTCGCACTCATGACAACTATTTTTAAATCTAATCTTTGCTTTGTGATTTCTTTAAGTAGACCCATTAAAATATCAGTAGCCAAGGTTCTTTCGTGGGCTTCGTCCAAAAGAATAACACCGTATGCCTCGAGCAAAGGATCAGACATGCCTTCACGTAAAAGCATACCATCAGTCATGTATCTAAAGTAATTATGGAATAATCTAAAAGTTACTTCATCACGGTCCTTGAGGACGTGCAATCCTCGAATCGAATACTGTATCCCACTTCTTGACCAAGTTCCACATCCATTTCCTCGGAAACACGCTGAGCAACAGACATAGCTGCTACCCGTCTAGGCTGAGTGCAAGCCACTGCCTTTTTGGTCGGATACCGTCCAGTTACCCATTCCAGGCACCATTGAGGAATTTGGGTCGTTTTTCCAGAACCTGTTTCACCAACTAAAACGGTGACTTGGTTCTCCGATAACGTTTGAAAAAAATTCTCTTTATATTCCCAAACAGGCAATTTGATACGCTTCCTGAGAAGTTCGAAGTATTTCGCACTAAACGATTTGCCTGAAACAAGATACAGATTAGAATAATTCGACAGACGGTATAGACAGTACGTATAGTTTTTGCCATGTATGCATCACAATTCATAATGGTCTACTGTATACGTACACATGAAAAGCAACGTGAAATTCAAATCAACACAAACATTTTCGTTAACCCATTTGTTTCCTGTGTACCCGTAACGATGTTAGCAGTAAATGATGGATATGACCATAGCTTTTAAGTATAAATCTGTCTTTAGGGGCATAACAGTGATCTTGTCGAAACATGTATTTCAAAACGTTGTGAACTCGAAATGCACAGGTGGCTTGCAAGTATAAGTATTCTTTTTATTTCTTATCTGCTACAAAAAGACTCAAAATGATCTCAAATATCTTCAATGTAGCCATTATATTCGAAACACTAAGTCCCAATAACTAAAGGGAAGATAACCTACAAAAGCCAATCGTATAAATGCAGATCAAATGTAATTTATAACGGATGAGCCTGGTCATGAGTAGGAACAAGTAAGGAAAGAATAACTATTAGTGCCCCTTTATTCATTATTAGTAAGGAATTTACAATCTGGCAGTTTCAGATCACCAATTGAACGAAGAGATAAACACAATTCCATCTGACTGTTTTTGATCGCCAATCGTCCCAATTTACAAGAAAGGACAAATCTTGAGTCAGGTCCGATAAACAGTAAATGCATGGCCATTTTTTCAAATATTTTAGGGAGTTTTTTTCATTCCTTTTGAAAAATTTTCTCACTCCCATTTTCCAATAATTTTCATTCCGTTTCGTCCAACTAAATAGCTAGTTTTAAATTCGTTATAACTGGTCGTTTATTTCTTAAAATTGATATAAAATGTCAGTACTTAACGACAGAACACATTTTCTTCAAATTATGGACAATAGTAACGTGCAAAGTACAAGCTCTGTCGTTTCTCACGTTGTCACAGAAACCGATAGCCTATTCTTGAGCACATTGTATATCGCAGCGTCCCAATCACTTGAAGCATTGAAGAGCGACATTAGTATTAGTATGTATACAGTGGGGTATAATGTGACTGTATACACGCTAATACTAAAGTGAACACACATTCAATTCGTGACAGATGGTTGCATTCGAGCAGCTACATTACCAGCATTCCGATTGACAATTACTTCTCTATCGAAGTAGGACAGACAAGAGTCAAAAAATCCTTATATGGCTTAGTAAGGCGTATGTCCGATGAACAATGTAGTGTTGTCTATAACTTCGCACATGAAGTGGTTTACGGCAGAATACCTCCAACGCCGTTGACCTTGTCTGCAGCTACTGAGTTTCAGATCGAGGCCTCCAATTCCACTAATGTGACGACACGGCATTCCTTTTGTAACGTGAAGACCACACGAACAGGTGATGGGATTAAGGGAGATTGTAATTGCCTGTAGCGTCAACAGCCCTGAACAAGTCCACCGACATTACGACCTTAGTCACAGGAGAACGCAAGTACCGTTTCAGTAGTTGACATGCAGCTGGTGTAAGTCTTTCCTGAAAACGGCGTATTTGTGGCTCCCGACCGGTAACTGTTTTGTTACGACAATCAGATGAGTATTTCTGGACTCTCGCTTCCATCCAATATTCAGTGCGAAGCAGCACACTGAATATAGATCTGAACATGTGTTTTTCTGTTCAGCTTATGCAACTTCAGAATTCCTATTCCAAGAAAACCTGAATGGAACATTGAAGTAGGCCCCCCGACCCTACTTCAAAAGGTTATAAGTAATCTGAAACGAGAAAGAGCAGCTGGTCCAGATGGATTAGCTCCAGAGGTATTTAAATATGGTGGTCCGATTTTAGCGATTAGGTTGACTAATATTCTGGCTAAAATCTGGGAGACGAACGTAATCCCATCCGACTGGTCACAATCACTGGTCCCAATATATAAAAAGGGGTCAAAATCATCCTGTGATAACCATAGAGGGATTAGTCTGACTAACATAGCATCCAAAACACTAGGCTCAATAATTATCGGACGCCTAACGAAGACTCGTGGACCGCAAACGCGAGAAAATCAGGCTGGTTTCAGACTTGGTCGTGGCTGTATCGACCACATATTCACTATTCGTCAGGTTTTAGAACACAGGCATACTTATTGGCGTCCACGAAGATAGCTTTTCTTGACTTAAAAGCAGCATTTGACTCTGTAGACCAAGAGGTTCTGTGGCAGTGTCTGTCATTGAAAGGTGTACCTCAGAAGTACATAAACCTTGTGAAGGCTCTTTACTCGAACACTACCAGTCGAGTGAGAGCTTATGGCGAACTGTCATATGATTTTACAACCTCAGGTGGTGTCCGTCAAGGTTGTCCACTATCCCCATTTTTGTTTAACTTCATTATAGACCTATTGCTGGAAATAACACTCTCTTCGACTGAATTTACAGGAATTAATCTCCTACCAGGGGGACCACTAAGCGACTTAGAATGCGCAGATGACATAGTCCTGTTTGGTGAAGACGCTGGGAAAATGCAAAGTCTTCTGTTGGAACTCAGTAATAATGCCAGGATGTTTGGGATGCGATTCTCCCCATCCAAATGTAAATTGTTACTCCAGGACTGGCCTGCGTCAACATTTGAACTAAGGATAGGGGGTGAAGTAGTCGAACATAAAGAGGACACTCGCAAGTTGCTAGTATTTAACCACAGATGTCTTAGAAATATTGCACATATCTGCTGGGATAACCGGGTAAGTAATAGCGAGGTTAGACGCAGGGTATTAGGGAATGATGGTAAATCAGTTAATGAGGTGATGAATCTTCATCGACTGAGATGGTCGGGCCACGTGTTACGTATGCCTGAACACCGATTACCACGACGCTCTATGATGACTAGTATTGGGGATGGTTGGAAGAGAGTTAGGGGCAGCTAAACCAAAACATGGCATCAGTGCTTGAAGTCACTAACTTCTAGCCTGAGCCATGTTGGCAGATGCCCCCAAATGCCCTGGTACGGCCGAGAGTGGGGAGAGTCTGCTCTCCCTCTCGAAATGCTCTCATATGGCCACGCGAATATATAGCCTCTGTCAGGGAAGTCCTACTCACTGCCTTCTCGTGGCGGGGGTGTTGTTCACAAAAGTGAGAGGACGAAAAGCGAATGTCCGGCGCTTTAACCGGGTTGGTGGATGTGGAGGATCCACCTAGGGGAGTTAGAAAACCCTGATTCCAAACCAATGGTGCACATGGGCTCCAGTTTCCTAAAGGAACGAATGGCGTATGAACCAACTGTTGGTCACCGGCTACCATGGGACTGCATCTCCTCACGATGCTCCACTGCCTTAGGGATCAGATCTTTCGGTCAAAGGCTCCGGGTGTGGCCCCCTAAGAAAACCACATGCTTCAGTCTGGGCACCTGAGCAGTATCACAGCCCTCACACAAATCAAAAGAGATTTGTATGGCGCATATTTATCTGGTGCTTCCTTGTACCAATATTTATGTGTTTAAATAAATAATAAATAAATATGTTGGCAGATGCAGACTACCTGGTTGGGGTCCGCGTGAATATCGCAACCAATGGTTGTAGACTGTAGGTGACATGGCTCAGAATCGATCAGAATGGCGAAGGTGTATACACTCGTTATCTTCCCTTAAACCTTGAGATTAAAATTGCTTCATAACTTTCTTCCTTCCTATACTATATCTTTATATACAACCTACTACCACCACCACTAAATTAACTACTATGAATTCGGTGTTGATCTTGCGCTAACGAGGTATGGCAACTTGGACCGATGCATATATGTGCCTGGTCCTACGTTGTAGCTGACTGACTTCAGAATTCGAAGAGACGTCTCAACGAAATTCGTACTATTTTGTTCCAAGAAAATCGCTGTGGGTCGAGAAGCATTTGACCACTTGTGCTTTTCAGACAAGTGATCTCTCATATACCGGTAAAAATTTCCGTCTGATGCTTCAATTAATGACAGATAACTATGGAAACTACAAAAGACTGTAATGCATATTTTTATTTACCTTTCCACATTTCCAGACGGAAGATTATCAGATCGTAGCCTCTACAACGACGGTAAATGGGTTAATGCCAAAGAACGAAAAACTTATTCTCTTTATGACATTACGAATTAGGTGTATGCGACACAAAATGTGGGAATTGAGATACACCTGCGTTATGGCAGCATTTATTGCAAGTGAGTCATCTGTAATAAAGACAATCACCTCTTGATTGTTAGTTGACCGGAAAAAGAACGACGGGAAATGAGAAAGCAAAGTCGATGTTTCGCAACTTATAAATGTCACTCATATCCAGAGCTACAACCTGATACAAATATAGGTTCTTCTTATTGCTTTCGTAGGTCCCATCAAAACCAACAACATCAAGAAAACGACTTGACAAATTCATTCGGTCTGCAGTGGTGAAGAAGAAATACAACAGACAATTATCTTCATCTAATTGATAATCACAAAGCCCACTAAGTGACATGATGTGACCTTTCAATTTGGCGTAATCACCTAATGTTTACAATTTAAATAGGCACATTGCTTACCAGGAAGGTTGGCCTGTGAGAACACTTTGTGGTGCATATTAAAAACATCTTGAGCATTAAGGCGCTTTCCATAAGATTGGTAAGCAAAGTGGACAATATTAAATGCTGCTGTCCTAGATATCAAAAGTGGTTTCACTGTTCCCAATTCATCCTCCATTAGCCGGCGCATTCGAGAATCACTTCCGTACCTCGTGGGATTGCACTCGTGATTGTGATGCACATTCCCACGAACAACAGTCCAGTAATCTTCAATAAACTTACAAAAGATGAAGGCCGGACATCGAGTGTTCCTTTATGAAAAATTAAAATAACACTGAGCAAATTACTCCGTCTACTCAGCTGTGAGGAATCGCTAGGTGTTTTACGGCTATTTCTCCAACATTCCGATCTTTATGGAAATGAGGATATCTCACCGCATAATGGCAGTACATGGCTCTTTCTAATGTCGCTCTTCAATGCTTCAAGTGATTGGGACGCTGCGATATACAATGTGCTCAAGAATAGGCTATCGGTTTCTGTGACAACGTGAGAAACGACAGAGCTTGTACTTTGCACGTTACTATTGTCCATAATTTGAAGAAAATGTGTTCTGTCGTTAAGTACTGACATTTTATATCAATTTTAAGAAATAAACGACCAGTTATAACGAATTTAAAACTAGCTATTTAGTTGGACGAAACGGAATGAAAATTATTGGAAAATGGGAGTGAGAAAATTTTTCAAAAGGAATGAAAAAAACTCCCTAAAATATTTGAAAAAATGGCCATGCATTTACTGTTTATCGCTAGGTTCAAACTTTAATGAAAAAAGTGGACTATAAAACCCTCAACACAGATGGCTTATCGATTATATATCTCAAATATTTTGTTTCTTAGCATGTCATTTTACGCGAAAACTATTCTGTTGAGTTGTACTGTATTTTGATAACAGTTCATTTGACTATCTACTTCGACGATTTAGTACGGCGACTTGTAATTGTTCTGCCACAGCGTATTATCGTCAAACACCTATTGAAAGTATTCTATCTGGCTTGACAACCGCGAAATGTGCACCATCATTCATTAAAGCTTAAAACAGTAGTTTCCTAACATTCCATTACGGACTTTTTAAAATACTGCTTGAGTGTAGTGTAGCTGTGGGGTGACGTCGGTCGTGAGATTATAGGTAGATGAAGTAGACTATTAGAATGTTTCGATTCTTATCTGAAGTAGCTGGATGTTAGGCACACCCAGTCACCGCGTACCTCGACATGCAGTGAAAGCTAGAATAGAAACAAGCTTGAAAAGCCAGGGCCAGAAAAGCAAAGCCACTAACTTCTAGTCTGATAAGTTTCGAAGAGTGAAGACTTCTTATATGAGACTTGAACGATAACCGTTATATATAATGGAAGGCATTTCAGTAAAATTTGATAAAAGGAAAACCGATCAAGTTAAAGAGCCAACCTAATATAACTAGGTAATGAGTGGTCTTCATGAACTACATTTCCAATTGTGATGTCATCACCAGATTCCCACAAAGCACAAGGACTATTGAATTAACAAAATTAGCCACAAATCACAATATCAGATCAACAATGCCAACTATCGTATTAACATATTTCAAAAAAGAAACTGACCGTTGTAAGGATTTGTTTGTGCTGCGAATGGAGACTTATTTGAAGCATTCTGTTTAGGTTTGACCTGATTATCTGGGGAGCGCGAGCGATCACGTGAGTGATTATCTGGTCCATCAGAAAACCTGTGGCAACAATACAGTAATAATGCGAAATAAAGTGAGAATGTGTTGATGAGGCAGGTACTAACAAAAAGAGAAACACGCGAACTTGATATCTCCGCTAAATTGCTTTGTGCAAACCATCCATAAAGATACAGAAACATATTAGTCTTTAATACAAGGATGTGAGAAATTTGTAATGAATACATCCGCTGAAAAATTACAAAAGGGCTAGGTAGTTATTGTAAATCATGATTATTGCCCTAACGAACGACAATTCCAAACATAAATAAGATTTCATTCACGTACTGTCGGATGCTTTAAAAACGGAGAAAGTTACGTACTTTAAAAGTTACTAAATATATTTGACATCAAAATACAATTATGAGCTGGGTCATAAAAGCACTTAACGAAGTACGACTGGAAAAATTAGTTTACTTTCTGATCCAATAAAAAGTGCATTAAACTAAAGGCTTTGCTTACTACAAAGGACAAAAATTTACCTGGCTGCTTGATGTGTAGATGGTGCTGAGTAATTTAAGTACATAAAAAAATGTAGCCCATTTACAGTTTAGACAATGAGCAAAGCTTTAGGTTCCTAACCCGTGGCAGCTTTATAAATATTTTTGGTGATTCTCAAACACGTTGATGGACATTAGCTATGGTCCATGGGATTATACTTTATTAACTAATCATTTGTCAAGTATAACTACATGTGTTTAACTTTGAGACACATCTTTGTCTTAATGATATTATGCAGTTACACAAACCAAAATAGATAGGACAAGGATTCGAACCCAAAAGCTACTAATTAAGAGCAGAGTGATTTAACCATTGAACGACCACTAACAAACTAAATATTTCTACCATATGACCTAATAAGAGTTTCGTATTGCCAGAGTCATCGGCTTTAGCAAAAACTGACGACTGTTATCTGGGATGGCAATCATATACAAAAATATTAAACACAATGTTTGAAGGTGTTAAGTCGAAGGGTATCGTCTGTCCACCCGAAGATAAAGAATGATCCTCTCATATGACAAAACTGATTTTGAATTTAACACCAAACGCGGATAGTTGAAGACTCTAGTCCCTGTATGCAAGGTGATGGATTTCATGTCAGTTTGTCACACATCAAGGTAACCAAACATTGTATTGCCAGAAGTCTCAACGAAAATACGAATGTGAGACTGACATTCCTAGTGATGTCTGCAACTGAAAATATAAAGTCCTATAACTTAAAGATGCTAAGAAACAACTTGAAAACTCGTCAGCGTCATCACCTCTACGTCATACAAGTTATCATACTCCAATACTGCATACAAAAATTTGTTCTCTTTCGCAGTCACGGTCGTATTCCTGAAACTATGTTAATGGACAATGAAGTTTTACCACAGCTACAACATATTTCATAGGTACTTATTTGCCGTACTCACATTCCTAAAACTGGTTCAGTGAGAATAGGTAGCCGAAAGAATAGTCGCTTCAAAATAACTAGCCCAAATTAATCAAAACGATACTAGTTAACCACTTTGTAGGACTAGCCAAGTATAAAATGGGATGAGAAACATATGAATCATGGGACGAACCGTATGAAAAATATGGGCCTAAGTCTATTTTTAGTCACGCGTTACGATAAATTTGTTGAATGACTATTGACCTGAGTGTCAATTCATAAGTGTAATGTGAAACGAATAAAGTATGACTCAATTGAAGTTCTAAAAACGTCCTTAGTAATTACCTTGACCGTCTGGGCTTAGATTCACCGATATCAATTCTATGCCTCGACGACATCACACTAAGAAAGTACGAAAGCGCGGAGAACCTGGTTCGTTTAGTAAAACAACACCAATTTTCTTTTTAAAAACGAAACCTGACAAACTGAAAATCTCACTGTCAAAATGAGAATAGAGTCTTTATTCAAATAAACCGTTTTTAGTGGTAAATAAATACCCGAAATCAATAGCTCGGTAAGTCTTTGACATTCAAGCGCGCTGTTTAAAAGGACATCCGTAATTTTCCTTTGTGTAAATTTTTATTATTTCAGTCATTTATTGCATACAAAGACTAGTGTTTACACTTTAAATGATTTTTTCAGTTAAAGTATCCACTAAGAGTATCACTTTGTTTTTTAAGTGGTTCATCGTTGGTACTTTTGAATACTTTGTTTTTTATTGCATTTGTTGGCAATTTTGGTCCGAACAATTTATAGTTTTACACTCTTTAGGTAATGGACCACATTTATCTCCTGGTACTACTGTATCTAGTTTCTTTCTGAAAACCTTTGATTGATAACTGGACTGTGCAAGTAAAGCGATTGCCAACGTCCAGTTTGTCGATACCTCGTTGAAAGCGGCATGCAGTGCGACGAGTGCAAAGGCTGGTATCGCGAAGTTTGCACGAAATTAACGCCTACTGCTCTTAGACAGAATGGACGTAAGCTAAAAGGTTCAAGAGTTTTTGTCCATAAGGACTTACCGCTTACAGACCGTGTAAAAAGACGAGGAAACGAAAAGGAACTTCAACTTAGTTTAGTTTTGGCATAGAGAATGATGTCAAAGCCATTATGGATGCAGCACGAACTAATTTAAATAGGCTTCGGATCTGTTACACTCATGCCCGAAGCTTGCTCAATAAGCGGTCGGGACAAGGTGTACAGATTGACTTTACGAAGCCAGATATAATCGCGATCACAAGAACTTGGCTCACGCAGACTACAGATAGCATGGAACTTGATTTTGAGCGTCTTACGTTGGTAAGAGCCGACGGAATCCAGAAGCGTAAAGGAGGTGAAGTAGCTATTCATTACGAATACTATCCCATTTGCCATTATCGACAGTGTATCCCATGAGATTAGGAAGTGTGAATTTGTTAGTTGCCGCTTAAGATGCTAGGGGCAAGAGCAGCTGATTGGTTTGCTCTACCGCAATCCAGGCTGTGAGGCGTATGAGGCCATGCTAAACAATCTCAATACTTGGTCACAAAGTGGTCGATGTCCAATTCTAGAAGACATCAATGCACCCACCGTAGATTGGAAAAAACTGAGAACTGAATTGTCAGAAAGTTCCTTCAGGCAGAGACCAGTTGATACATTTATCACATGTGCCCTAGTACAACATGTGAAAGAAGCGACTACGTACGACCCGGGCTCTGAATTATCCTTACTAGGTCTTATATTGACTCACTATGAGGATGACGTTGCGAACCTCGATTGTATGCCACGCCCAGGTAAAAGTGATCATGCAGTTCTAACCTTTGACTTCCATATGGTTGTCAAAAACGAGCACACATCAGCTCAAACCATATCTAACGTCTGGAAAGTAAATATACAAGATATTATACACTAAGAATCGTCAGTAGAACGGACAATAGAGCCAGAGTCTCCAACTGAAGCAGCTTGGGGTACATTTCAAAATCTATACCTAAAATTTATTGCACCCCACATTCCTTGGACTACACCAAGGGAGCTGGGAAACTCTCCACCATGTATCAGTAGGGAGGTTCACACTCTTCTCTGTAAGAGGAGAAGAATCTGGGATAGATTTATGTTACTGAGGACTGATTAAAAAAATCTCAATATCCACGAGCTCGGAATACCTGTGTCTTGTCTCCCCGTAAGTCTAGAAGGTTGTACGAAGAGAAAAATCTTAGGGAGTCTATAGAATGTCCTAACCGCTTGTATTCGTATATAAACAAAAGGATAAGAAGACGAGGTAATGTTCCAGCATTATGAAGAGGCAGTAATTCTTCATCATTAGTGTTGGGTGATTGTGGTAAAGCTCAAAGATTATCAAACTACTTTAACAGTGTAAATACAGTTGAAACACCCCTCCCGTCAGTTCATACAAATCCCACACATATACTGGGCAATATGACCATTGAAGAACTCGATATCTTCGATCTGCTAAATAAGCTTGACACAGGCAAATCCTCGGGACCCGATGAACTGCATCCTAGGTTACCGAAGGAATTAGCTGACTTTGTTTCGAACCCTGTAAGTAAATGCTTTAATCGATCCGTAACCCGGGGTCGATTACCAAAAGACTGGAAGAACTCTATAGTAAGTCCTGTCTTCGAAACAGGTACGAAACATAAACCTGAAAATTACCAACTCGTTAACCTAACTAACGTGGCCAAAATTCTAGAGAAGATTATTTGGAAAGAGTTTTCTAAAGTTCTCTACGAAAACCGGATCCTTTCGGAATAGCAGCATGGTTTTAGAACAGGTTTTTTCTGTCTCACTAACTTATTAGGTGCTCGTGAAAACTGATGAGCTCTCAAAGACAAAACACTTCCTATAGATGTAGCCTACATTGACTTCAGCTGAATATCCACTTTCCCCTTGAATCATCAACGAGTGGAATTCATTAACTCATCAGAGGGTTGAAGTAAAAAATCCGTCAACTTTTTCAAAACAAATTGGACCAACTGAGAGACCATCATTTGCCAGGACTAACACAGGACATCGAGCCTCTTGTCCTTTCCAGACTGAAACTGATTTGATGCTGACCACATCATTTTTGATGGACTCACCTAGCTGAAGGCGCTTGTTCACGCATCTGCATCAGATCACGAATGGGAATGCTGTGCTCAACTTCTGCTGCAACTGCTAGCAAGTTTAGATCAGTCACTTCTTGACATATTGATAGCCTATCAGATATATCTTCCAACCTCTTCGCTTCTGATTTCCGATTTGACTTGATGGGCAAGTTCTGATTATAGAAGGTGTTACGGGTTAAAGTGTTGTCGAACTACAAATACTTGTGGCGTCTTCAAATCTTTCTGTCAAGTAGTTCTGGAACAGATTGCAGTTTCTTTTCAAAGTTTTTCCGGATTCTGGTTAGTGTAATGAGGACAGAAGGCCTACCGCTTATGTTATTTTCTTCCTAATATGCGCCTAATATACGCCACAGGTCGGCACGGCCCCCAATAAGTCGTCTGCTCACAGTGGACTTTGTTCGACACGATGTACTTAAGGTTGTTGGCACTTTTGACACGGGAAATTCAACTGGACAGGATGAATTGCACCCTCAAATCTTGAGACAAATTGCACAAAACTGACTGTGATATTCAATATGTCACATAACCAATGTAATTTACCTAGGGACTGGAAGGATGCAAATGTCACTCCAGTACATCAAACAGGATCAAGACAGCTTTCATTAAACTACAGACCTGTCATTCTCACAAATGTAATGGTCAAAATACTGGAGAGGATAGTCAAAAAGACAATAGTGACATTTACGAAAACCAACTTTTTAAAAAGCGAACAACATGTTAGTTGTGTCTGTAACAAACAAGTCAAATCATTGAACAAGCGCCCACCACGTCAGTCTTATCTGATGTGTCTGCAGATTATCCCTGTTGCATGTAACCTACCAAATGAATGACATTAGTATCCTGTTGTATTCGTGTGACTCATAATTTTTATTCATTTTGATAGAACAGGCAATACTGGTAGGTATGTTCGTGCATTCCACTTAATGACTATGATCTTTTTAATTGTTGTAATAATCAAATCGTTTCCTTTATGTTTGGAAACAAACGGCCTTTGAATCCTTATTCTGATTATAGCTTTCACATAGTCTGTGACTGCCAGTATCGCGTTTGCACTTCTAGTAGAATATCAGTAGGACAAATGAAATCCTGCACATTATGGTTTCAGAAAAGGTTTAGCTTGCACAACAACTCCCCGTAAGGCTAGAGGGAAATAGATAGCTCTAAATAATGGAAAATCTGTGGATGTTGTCTACATAGACTTCAGCAAAGTATTTTATAAGGTGTAGAAAAAGACTACTCTTGAAGCTAGAAAGTCTTGCTTAGTCGGACCTTGTCTGAAACGGCTTGACTATTTCCCGGTAGGTCGTGGAGAGAAAATAAGAATAAATTCCATGTGCTCCATCTGAGTACCAGTACTTATTACAGTTCCGTAAGGTTTTGTTCTAGGTCCTTTACTTTTTATACTGTATGTAAATGAACTTCCAAGTATAGTTAAGTCTCCAGGGTTATTACACGCTGATGATGAAAAAATGTGGTGAGAAATAACTGGAAACGCAGATCCATGCGCACTCAGGGTAGACCTAGATATTCTGACTAACTGGTCTAAATAAAGTGACTGGCACCTATAAACGCTGTCAGCTGTGTCAACACGCAATTTGGGAGTGCAGAGGTAAAAAGCTACAGCGTAGGAGAAGTGACTGTACCCGTAGTACCGTCGCATAAGGGTCTTGGTGTGACAGTGAGTCATGATATTAAGACCACGGCTCACTGCTGTGAGGTTGCGGTGGATGGACATTCATCAAAATAGATACTACTATATTCGCTAAAGCACACACACCATAGTGAGATCCAAACTACAAAACCGCGTTCAGACTGCAGGCCCCTGTTTGCAAGGCGACTCGAATATCCTGGAAAACGTACAGAGGGCAGCCATCCGTGCAATTTATGAAATCTGGGGTTTACCATACAAAGATCGGCTTGAAAAGGTCAACCTTTTCACTCTGTCATACCGCGAATTAAGAGGTGATCTGATTTTGATTAACAGAGTACTAATAAATGATAATGGACCTAATATATCTCCTCTTTTTCATTCTACTAGAGTGGGATGACTCAGAGGACATAGCAGGCGAGTAGGAGAGTTAGGAAGAAACAAAATACCCATGACATACATGTTTTACACCGAGTAACTAATTCTTGGAATGTGAAACTCGAAGCAGTGGTGTCTGCACCTTCATTTGGCGTATTCAAGAGACAATTAGACACTCACAGTAGCATATTAAGAAGAAAATAACATA